CTGTGTTCACAAACAGTAGGTCTAAAAATAAAGGAGGGGAAACATTAATAGCAGTTACACATGCTAATTTCAGCCAGTATTTCTTAACTTGAAGCATGGCTTTCAGACAGGGTTTGTTTTCTTTTGCTAACAGAGGTATGTAGGAGCAATAGGTGGTTGAAGCCAAAAGTCTCTAAAAACAAATTGAAGCCACCAGTGATTCAAGCTTTTTAATGAGGCTGAGATCTTCATTTCTGAACCAGAATCTGTTCTGAGCCCGCCTCATTTCTCCCACACCTGGTTTTCTTCCCTACTCCTCTGTCTGCCAGCTTAGGGTGGATGTTACCTACTCTGCGTGTCACATTTTGTCACCTTCTTATATCCTAATAATAGATTTCTTCCACTGGCATTCCATTTTAAACCTCGCTCTATCAATCTTTGCCTGTATTTTTTGAGCTAGAGAGAACAAAGATTAGCTCTGAGAGAAGAATGGAATGGTAACACTGACAATAGAATAACTTAAATGGAGACTAACACATGCAGGCTTAGTAAAGGACAAGCTTTATTCTTTCTCTTCTTTAAGTAATACATAGTTAAATCTTCAACATTAAGAGAAAATGATGTTTCATTTGGATCATGGATCATTGATCATGGATCGTGGATCATTGAAATTTAATGAAAATGAGTTATTGCTTCTTTTGGATCCAGAGTTAAGTTCAACTTAAGAGCTGAAGGAGCACTTAGACGATGCTCTCAGACACAGAGTATGATCAAAGAATCATAGAGTCACAAGGTTGGAAAGAACCTGCAAGATCATCTAGTCCAACCATCCTCCCATTACTATTGCTACCACACTCTGCTAACCCATATCTCGCAGCTCCTCATCCAGAAGTCTCTTGAACACTGCCAGGGATGGCAACTCCACCACCTCCCTGGGCAGCCATTCCAGTGCCTGACCACCCTCTGAGAGAAAAAGTTTTTCCTTATGTCTAATCTAAATCTCCCCTGACACAACTTGCAGCTGTTTCCTCGGGTCCTGTTTGTTGCCTGGGAAACAAGGCCAAGCCCTTCTTCACCCCAACCTGCCTTCAGGAAGTTGTAGAGTGCAATGAGGTCTCCCCTGAGCCTCCTCTTCTCCAGACTCCCTCAGCCGCTCCTCATAAGACTTGTGCTCCAGACCCCTCACCAGTTTTGTTGCCCTTCTCTGGACACGCTCCAGGGCCTCAATGTCTTTCTTGTAGTGAGGGGCCCAAAACTGAACACAGTACTCGAGGTGCAGCCTCACCAGTGCTGAGTACAGGGGGTTGATTACCTCCCTGCTCTTGCTGGCCACACTATTTCTAATGCAGACCAGGATGCCATCAGCCCTCTTGGCCACCTGGGCACATTGTGGGCTCATGTTCAGCTGAGCATCAACCAACACCCCAAGGCCCCTTTCCTCTTCACAGTCATCCAACCACTCATCCCCAAGCCTGTAGCGCTGCACGGGGCTATCGCGCCCAAAGTGCAGGACCCGACACTTGGCCTTGTTAAACCTCATCCCATTCACCTCAGCCCAGCGATCCAGCTTATCCAGATCCCTTTGAAGGGCCTCCCTACCATCAGGCAAATCAACACCACCTCCCAGCTTGGTGTCATCTGTAAACTTACTGAAGGTACACACAATCCCCTCATCTAAGTCATTAATAAAGATATTAAACAAGAGGGGCCCCAGCGCCGACCCCTGAGGGACAGCACTTGAAATGGGTCGCCAGCTGGACTTCACTCCATTAACCACAACCTGTTGGGCATGACCCTCTAGCCAGTTCCTTACCTAAAGACGGGTATACCTGTCCAGGCCACAGGCAGCCAGTTTCCCTAGAAGAAGCCTGTGAGAGACCATGTCAAAGGCTTTGGTGAAGTCTAGGCTGACAGTATCAACAGCCTTTCCCCCGTCTATCGTCTGGTCATCCAGTTGCAGAAGATGAGGTTGGTCAAGCCCAATCTGCTTTTCATGAACCCGTGCTGGCTGGGCCTGATCCCCTGGATGCCACGCACATGCTGTGCAATCTCATCCAAGATTATTTGCCCCATAACTTTCGCTGGTGCTGATGTCAGGCTGACAGGCCTGTAGTTCCCTGCATTCTCCTTATGGCCCTTCTTGTAGATGGGAGTCACATCAGCAAGCCTCCAGTCCTCTGGGACCTCTCCAGATAACCAAGAGTGCTGGTAGATGGTGGAGAGCAGCTTGGCAATCACCCCCACCAGCTCCCTCAGCACCTGAGGGTGGAACCTCTCTGGTCCCATGGATTTATGACAGTCCAGATGGAGGAGGAGCTCTCTAACCATCTCCACCTGAATCACCCAGGATGTATTCTACATAGCATCCCAGACTTCCAGACCAGGGTGTAAAGTGCTCTGAGGATGTCTGATCTGCCTATTAAAGGCAGATGTAAATAAAGCAATGAGGACCTCAGCCTTCTCCTTATCCTCAGTGGTCACATTCCCCGCTGCATCAAGTAAAGGATGGAAATTCTCCTTGGTTCTTTTCTTACCGTTGATATATTTGTGAAAGGATTTCTTACTCTCTTTTACTGCAGTGGCCAAACTGAGCTTGAGTTGGGCTTTTGCCTTCGTAACTTCCACCCTGCATACCTTAGCAACTTCCTTGTAACCCCCCCAAGTAGCCTGTCCCTTCTTCCAAAGGACATAGATCTCTTTTTCTTCTGGAGTCTCAAAAGCAATTCCTGGTTCATTCACACCAGTCTTCTTCCCCTACGGCTTGCTTTACAGCATTCAGGAACAGCCTGTTCTTGTGCCTTTAGGACTTCCATCTTGAGGAGCATCCAGGCTTCCTGGACCCTTTTGCCCTTAAGGAGGGACTCCCAAGGGATATCTGCAACAAGCATCCTAAACAGGTCAAAGTCTGCCCTCTAGAAGTTCAAGATAACAGTTTTGCTACTCACCCTTCTGACATCTCCTAGAATAGAGAATTCTACAATTTCGTGGTTGTTCTGCCCAAGACAGTCCCTAGCCTTTAGATCTCCTGCCAGTCCTTCTCTGTTAGTGAAGAGCAGGTCAAGCAGGGCACCACCCCTGGCAGGCTCTCATACCAGCTGAGTAAAGAAGCTATCTTCCATGCACTCTGGAAACCTCTTGGAATGCTTTCTCTGCAGTATTGTATTTCCAACATATATCAGGGAAGTTGAAGTCTTCAATGAGAACAAGTGCTGGCGATTGTGCAAATCCTGCAGTCTGCTCACAGAATGCCTCATCCATCACTTCATCCTGATTAGGTGGTCTATAAAACACCCTCACTAAGATGTCGCCCCTACAGGCCTTCCCCTGATCCTTACCCATAGACGTTCAACTTTATCATTCACAACCCCAAGCTCTTTGACATCAAAACACACTTTAATATGAAGTGCCACACCACCATCCTTCCTTCCTTGTCTATCTCTTCTGGAGAGCTTGTAGCCATCCATCACAGTACTCCTGTCATGGGAATGGTTCCACCATGTTTTGGTAATAGCAACTAGGTCATAGTTAGCCTCACAACCGCTTCCAGCTCCTCCTGTTTGTTGTCCACGCTGTGCGAGTCATCTGCCTCTCCCCCAGTTCCAGCACTGTTCCCTTAGGCTCGTCTCTGGTGAGCCCTGTTGTGTCTTCTTCCCCCATTGTAGCTAGTTTAAAGCTCTTTCGATAAGCCCTGCTAGCTTTATTGAGGATTGTTTCCCTCTTTGAGATAGGTGAGTTCCATGAATGGACAATTGGCCATGATCAAAGAACCCAGAGTTTGTGCTTCGACACCAGCCTCTGAGCCAATTATTCATTGCTTGGGCTTTCCAAGCCCACTCTGCGTTCTTCACTGCCCCTGAAAGTATAGAACAAAAGATCACTTGAGCTCCTTTTCCTTGAACTAAATGCCCTAAACCTCTGAAATCTCTTTTCATAGTTTACAGGTTTCCCTGAGCAATTTCATCACTGCTCACTGAACTATGAGTAATGGAAAGTAATCAGTGGACCTAACCAGCTTTGGGAGTTTCCTGGTTATGCACCTGACCTGGGCCTTCCTCTGAGAAGGGAGTCACCCACTACGATCACCTTTCTTTCTTTCCTGACAGAGGCAGTCTAAAGGTGTGGGGGTGACCACCTCGCCTTAGGCTCCCTCCTAGACAGATCCTCCATCACCTCACCACTCATCGCCCCTTCAATTTCCAGCGTCTCAAACCTGTTGCTTAGCTGGAGCTGGGGAAGCAGGCTAGGCAGTGATGCTGAGTTGAAACTCTCTTCCAACCCTTCTCATCTGTCAGGTCTGTCTGATTGTGACAGAGCAGGGGGTCCACACCTTTCTGGGGATATCTCCCTGGCACCCTTCCCTCTGGCACGCCAGCAAGTCACTCCACCAGTCGATCTCCCGCTCACACTCCCTACTGGTCCTTAGTCTCTCCACCTCCTCTTTGGGCTCACACCTCGCACAGGTGGAATCCCTGCCACCCCTCCCCAGGCAGCAGCAGGCTCAGGCACTCCTTGCAGCTGGAGACCTGAACAGCCACACTTCTGGGCAGGCCCTCTGTCTGGGTCGCTGTCTCTGTCTTTTCAAAAAAGCCTTCAAAAGAGCTTTTTTGTTGGCCTTTTTCACTTCAGGTCCCCTGATTTTTTGGTAGCCCTGCATGGAGCTGGAAGTTGGATTCAATAATCACTGAGGTCCCTTCCAACTTGGGATACTCTTTGATTCTATGATTCAGATCTTTGTGATGCTCCAGGTTTCCAGAAGGCTTATTAGCATATGCAGCAGTACACTGCCTACATGGTCCTTCCAGCAAACTTCCCCTGAAGCTGAGTTAAGAGGCTCTTACAGATGTAGAAGCCACGCTAATAAATTAGAGCAACTCCATGCACAGCCATTTAAATCTTGCCCTGAATGCAGCAGCACTTTGCATTGGATAAACACCACAAAGTATAGCAGAGATGACTGCTTTTTATCAAACATGCAGTTCTCTAATGGAATGGTAGAATCACTATCAGCATCTTAACAATCATTACACATATATAAACATGCGTGGAAACCACCGCTGTGCTAAACGAACACCTACAGCACTCAGTACCAAAAATAGTGGCCTTAAAATCAAGACACTAATACAGTAGTGGTCACAGGAAGAATGCAGCTGCCCAGCTGTGGGAGTGCGGGCCGGAGGCCGACGGGCTGGAGGCTGGGGGGGACGGGGCTGCGGTGGCTGAGGCAGAGTGTCCCAGTCCGGATACCAGTTGGTATAACCTAAAAAAGAATAAAGAAATGATTGTTAAAGCCTGATCAACTTAGCCATACTCAAAACAGTGAAAAGCAATCAAATACATACTTATAAGTTTCTCACGTTCTGCGTTTACTGTGGAGAGATCAGAAAAAAAGACATCAATGCAACAGCCTTTGTCCTGTAGGAGAATATAGCAAAACTGGTTGTAGGATCTAGCACTGAACTAACAGAAGCTCTCTTTTTCCTCTCCGTCCCCCTAGTCTTTGTGATGCTGATAGCCTTTCTGTGGCCTGTCAGCCTGTGACTTCAAAATGAGTCAGCCAGGACATCACAGAAGGAAAACAAATAGCAAACGCTCAATTATTTTTACAGCTGAAGCTATCTAGAGTCTGGCTAGTAGAGAACATCTCCTGTGAAACACTGCACAAGAGTAATATTTAAGACACTCTTGCATGCCTGTTACTCTCTGACCATTTAAAACACTGTTTCTGACTAATTTGGGACTGGGTGAGACAATTAAGATCCATGGCTGCAAACCGCTGTGGAAAAACAAGCTCTCATTGCTCTATTTGAGAAAATTCTAACAGTTAAAACAAAGTATTTTTCAGTATAGTCTCATTATTGGTTCAGAAGTATAGTTTTCTGGAAAATGTGTTAGGACATATAAATGAATGGAAAAATTGAGTATACTATTTATCCTGGGGGAAAAAAGTCAGATGGGAATATTTGTTGGGTATATTTTAGTTTTGACTTCCCTACAGATAAAAGGTAAAAAGTAATCTAATCGATACATCTTTTGATTGGAAACTCTGCTTTGTACCTCCAGGAACCCTAAATTACAAAATGTTCCAATTGATAACTTCACACACTATCCTAACCTGATTTTAGTCCTGTGGTGGGCTACAGACCCACTATGTACTTAGTGCAAACTGACCCACTACTGTATTTTTACTGATACTTACGACACCACTATTTCTATGCAATCTCCTTAGTGAATCACTTTGATCTTACCACAGAGATTGCCCACACACTGGTCGTTACTGCATCCACTACACGGTTGTCCTGCTTTATAAGGTTTTGTTGGGTAATTCCCCCTGAAAAGGAGAACAGTATTTTGTTAGCTCAGTCTTTGGAAGAGCACTTTAAACACACATGCTAGAATAATATTTATTGGGAAGCTATTACTGGGCAAAACAACCCTTATCCAAAAAAGGATCATTATCACTATCTGAAATTCCACTTAGGTGAGACTCACACTCTCACTGACATGCGGAGGTTTCTTATGCAATGCTGTAGTATTCAGCCCAAGTGTACGGGAATCTGCTTTTAGTCCCTCAATACCCACCTGTATTTTTTAAAAATCCATAAAATATATGTCTAGAAATCACAAAGCATGAGATGAACTTGAGCACTGTCATCCTTTTGCACTAGAATCAGAGAATGATTTAGGTTGGAAAAGGCACTTAAGACCAAGTTCAACCATCAACTAACACTACCAGGTTCAGCACTGACCCTTGCCCTTTATTGCCATTTCCACATATCTCTTAAATACCTCCAGGTACGAGGACACCACCACCTCCCTGGTCAGTAATGCCTGACCACCTTTCTACAAATAAATTCTTCCTAATATTTAATCTAAACCTCCCCCGACACAACTTGAAGCTATTTCTTCACATCCTATCAATTGTTGCCTGAGAAAAGAGACTGACATTCCACTCACTGCAACCTCCTTTCAGGTAGCTGTAGAGAACAATGAGGTCTTCTCTCAATCTCATTTTGTCCAGAAAATGGATTTTATTCCACAGCCCTTGCTGACAGCATGTGCCCTCTGCCAGGATCTGCTCATCTGCTTTTATAGAGAGTGATTTTCTGCAGCTCAGACTGCCCAGCACCTAATGCTTTAGATGGTCAGGGGAAATGCTGATTGGTGGACATAGCTTCTGAAATTTGTTATAATGCTCCTGCCATTGGTAAAATCTGATGTTGTTAGTTAAAGCACATTTAAAAACAAAAGCATGAAACCCCAAATGCCATAATTGACTTACGCTGGCCCATAGTCACAAACAAAATGCGCCACATTGTTGAATCCGTGAAGATTGTGAATTCTATGGCAGAAGTGAACTGCACAGCCAACTTTGTAACTCGTTGCCCAAACAACCTGAAGGGAAAAGTGAAACACGCGATGCACCTGATGAAGGTCTGTAAAAGCAACCAGAACCAGAATTCACAGTATTGATGAAGGAATTGGTGACTGAGTGGAAGGATCTTGTGAAAGTTGAAAACAGGCAACGCTGACAACCCAAAGTGTGCCTGGGACCAATGACTGATAGGTGGTCTGGCACCTATTGCCTGCCTCCCTCAGAAGCCTCAGAAGTCAGGGAGATAATCTCTTCCAACCATTAATGAAACAGAGCTCAGACAGCCCTGCAGATCAGAATTTATTTCCAATCTCATCGAGCACTAGTATACAGAGTAAAAACCCTGCCATAACTTGTGTTCCAAAGCAGTCTGGTCCATGTCTGCATTTTTTTTTTTTTTAAACATAATAAATCACTGGGCACGTAAGACTCACCTGGGTGTAGTGACCACACTTGTCAGCGCAGTGACGGGTGTTGAAATCGTAGCTGCTGACTTCATTAAACCAGTCAGTCAGAGCTACGTGCACAGAAAAGATGGTGGCGGTGCCAGTCCAGATGTTTTCTCCAATAGATGTAAAGGTGGGGTGCATCTTCTGTGGTATTTTAAGGTAGATATTGTGCTCAAACATGCACCTCTTTGCCCATGCCTTAGCAGATTTAGCTAAAGCAGGGTCCCAGGACTGTAGAAAAGAAGGAAAATACAAATGTAACCTGAACTGCAGTGAGTTAGGTGGATTCAGGTATTCTAAAAGAGAAAACTGCTATTTTTTTTTTCCTTGCATTCATTTGCATTTCCTTGCATTTGTCTTGTCATTTCTATTCTTAAAGCAAGAAATTTTCTTCTTCCTTCTCCCTCAGATATTAGTGGACATGTAGCACCTCTCACTGTTCTGTAATATCTGACTTGTTACGATGCTTAGAGCTGGACTGCAGTGTTTAAGCTGCCATGTCTGTGTAGAGTCTGCAGAAAGATTTATGCCACCAGGCAATAAAATAGCAAGTGAAAGTAGGTATGGAAAAATAAGTAAGTTAAAATAAGTAAGTGAAAGGATGTGAGGGGAAAAAAAAAAAAAAAAAATTTAGTTTTGTGTTCATAATGACAGGCCTGGAGCTGACCATTACCATGCATAAATCAATGCTGAATAGTACTATTGTATAATCAATGGATATCAAGATGTCACAATCACAAAATAAACAAGAGAGTTAGGTGAAGCGGACTACAATAACAAGAGAGAATAAATGGAAGGCTTACCCTTATGCTGGGCTCACCACAAAACACCAGAAGGAGGGATCTCCAGCAGAGATCCTTCCCCACTGGTAGCCAGCTCTTCAATAGGTCTAGGAGGGGGCAGCCTGGCTCCACCCCTTCTGGCAGCACAGGTGAATTGCCTTCAGCTGTGCTCCTCTGACTGGCTCATGGCTCGCCTCAGGTGATCAATCAGAGGTTCAGGCCGTGACTCAGCAGTTCCTATACATACTATAAATGACAAAGTTTTAGAAATTCCTTGAGAAGGAATGGAGAATGAAAAAAAATGTAAGTATACTACAAGTCCTGTTAAAAACTGTGCACAGTACCTCACTTTAAGAAGGAGACATTGGAACTGGAAGGGATGCAGAGAACATAGGGGAGCACGATCATCCTAAGAATGGAAGGCTTTCATAAAGCAACATCCTATGCAGCAGCTTTTATCTTGTGTTAAGTATGTAAACAAGCAATGCTCACATGTTCTTCCCAATACAGGCACCAGAGCCTATCAGAGGAAGCTAGTAGTTATCAAAAGCAAATAAAATGCTGGGAGACATCATCACAGAGCTTGTAGGTAGACTGTGCAGCTCTTTGCTGTGAGTTGTTAGGGATGATAAAAACTTGCAGAGACTGAAGAAAGTCGTGCAAGAAAAGTCCATTGTGAGCTTTCAAACACAATGGAACAGGTTTCTTTATATTTGTCCTCTTATTCCAGCATTGCTGGATCTGTGCTCTGAGCAGCTAAGTTGCCTCTGGTGCTTTTCCATTATCAATTAAATATAGATAGATTTAACAAAGTTCCAAGAAATTAAAATCATGAGTGGTATGAATGTTACTTCTTTGCTGTGATCTTCTTTACATAAAATGACTCATAGCATTTATGTGATTATGCAGTTAGCTTCCTTTTCAGCTAAGCAGCACTGCCGGAAGGCTCAAAGCAATGACATGAGCTGACTGGGGTTATCTCCCCCACCTATCTGTCTTCTCCTTACACACTCCATTGAGCAAGCTAAGACTGATACACAGCCTGTTCTGACATCCATTACATTTATGGGGAGATCTGCTTTCTAGTCCAGATACTAGCACCCCTGCTCTCCAAGCCCTGTTGCAGCAAATCAAAATGAGGCATCTATTTGAATGTCCAAGCAAATCTCTTTCTTCAGTACATATTCTAGATTGGAGGAAACAAGGCAAGAGACTAGATTTCCAATAAACCCTGTGGTACAGGTTGCCTTCCAGGAGATTTTTAATACCAAACAGATTTCTTGTAAGAAAACTGGGCTAATATAATGAAGATTACTGTCTCTCTCTGAAAAAGGTAAATGAAATGCTGAGAACTGAACATTATATATATTTTATTTAAATACAGTCCTTAGCTGTGGCTGACAATTAGAGCAACAATCTGTTCCCATACAAGAAATCCCCTTCCAATTATTAAGATAGAACAGTACTGTGAAAATGAACTGCTTTCTATTTCCTACCAAGAATGATCATACATAGTGCAGAAATCACTGACAAAAAGGGAAAGAAAAGCACAGAGGAAATGCAAACGAGGATGGTCTAAATCAGCAGCACCATCTTAATTAATTTTCAAATAGATCACAAAAGTCTCCTTACCATACGAAGCATATTGCTGGCTGGTGGATTCACTTTGGATCGGAAGTCATTGTGAGCTCTCACACAGTCTTCAATGAACTTTGCATCTTCTATGTCAGGCAAGGGATATTGGTCATATGTATGACAGCAAACAAAGAGATCAAGCAAGAACAGCACAGCAAAGAAAAAGGTGATTTTCATAATTCTTCAATGCTTTTGGTATTTTTTTTTGAAGTTTTTAAAAGAAGAATTGCTCAGGTGGAGTCAGTACTGCTAAGTGCTTCCTCTGTAGTCCTTCGGGTGTTGAAATACTTGAAAGTGTCTGCCAAAGCAACAGGAAGTGAAACTGCTTCCTAAGATGAAGATCTAACTGACATCACATCTGCTGGCTGCCCATGAAACAGGCATCTGCCATACATATCATCGAGGGGCAACATTAAAGATATGACTATCTTTTCTTTGAGTGTGTTTCATTCTGGTTGACTGCCAAGCTATTCGGTGGCTGTTGGTGCTAACCACAGAGGTGCTGCATAATGAGTTTGCTAAAACTTCTGTGAACCATAAAAATTCTAGCTATGACAAAACACAGATCTGCTGTTCATCTGATTTTCTTACATCATTATTTTGCAGAACCTTTCCTCCTTCTCAGAATTACTCTAAGAACAAACAGAACTAGCGAAACTGTGTACATTAAATTTTGACCTCACTAGAAGGAAAAAAGTTCCTAAGCAGCAGGAACAGACTTCCTGACCTTTTGGTTTGGTGTGTACAAAGGCATGCCTTAGAAATCCAAGCCATGAATGCATGCTGATTCTCTGTCAGTAGCCACCTGTGTTTATCTGACAGGCTGACATTATTGGAAGAGCCTTCTGTGCTCCCGGAAAGAGAGCACTGTGGGATTAGCGCTCCTGGTGTAAAATTCCAAGCCTGATCCCTTCCTGGGGCAGCAGGATGTGCGCTGGTGGGATTTGCATTGTCTCGTCAATCCTTCCACAAGCTGGTTAATCTTTTATTTCAAAACGGTGGTCCTCCAACTCCATCACATTTATATCTATCTATGCTATTAATAGGAGGCATGGAACTATTTCTCTGTGTGCACATGAATGGATGTCAAGCATTACTAATTCTCCCCACCCATGTCTTGGCCCAGCCGTGATTTGCTGACTGATTTCATGAAGGTAGGGCCTGCTGCAGAAGGCAATGGTGTGGTGGACACCTTCTGGGGCTTTGGATCTTCTGGGAGAGAAAGAAACAGGTCCTACACTTGTCTTTGTTGGCTATATTACACACACACAAACTGTAAAAATAGAACGCAAGTAGCATACCAAAATTGCACCATCGATTTAGCAATTGCACCGGATTTAGCAACCCAGTGATCTAGCAGTTTTATATCTGTGTAGCTGAAATGTGTGTGGAGACTGAAAATGGGTGCTTTATAAAGCAGGAAGTCTTGGCTTATCCAGCACATTCAGGGTTCTAAGATGCTTTCCTGCAGAGATGACTCTGGCTCCATCTAGTGAGTCTATCCTTAAAACAGAAGTGCAGTCTGTCCACACGTAATGTTTTCACAGAAAGCCAATTAATCACCAGCATTAATGGTCCTCTTTCGTACGCCAGATGAAAGTAAAGCCTTGTGATTTGGATATCCATGTAGTATTTTTCTGGATGATACAAACGTTCCCTGTCCTTGCATAAATCTCGAGTGAGGTTTAGCACATGGAGTGACGGATGGGCAGGAAACTGTACAGCCCAATTGTTTGTAAGAAAATTCTGTAATTCCATCCTTAGATTCCTCTTTCTCACTCTGTACCTCCTGCTTTCATTTTAAAATGGCTGGAAACAGGTTTCCATTTCTTTTTTTTGTTTTTTTCCCCCCTAATGTATCACATGGTTAGATAAATAAGGACTGGTGGACTACATACTAACAGAAGTCCAAGATGTAAAATTGTATTTAGCTTTCTCCTCAAGTTACCAGCTTTCCCAGTGAATGTTGTTACTTGTGCTGGGGACAGAGAGACCTACTTGTCTTTGACTTGCTTGATTCAGCTTAACAAGAGGGTGGATTTGCTAGGCTTTCTTGGTCTGCCCATAGGATATGCAGACGTAAGATCACCTGCCCTTCCAGGGGTGTGAATAAGCAAGCATTCTGACATCTGTTGCTACTTGTATTACACAGTTTCACCTCAGGGTAGAGACCAATTGGAAGGATCATGTTGGTATGGATGATTTCCACATGAATTCTTTTGTAATAAATTCTTTTGTAATTATTTATTAAAGAGAAAAGGTATATTTGTTAATTTGGGGGGTAATAATGAGGCTATAAACAGATAATATTATTACGGGATGCCATCATTACATGGCTGGACTGCAGGTAGTTCTGACAGTTTTACTGCTTTTTTGGTTAGGGGAATTTGCACAGTACTGCTTACTCCAGCTATGCCTGGCAGCCCAACAGAGCAGAACTGTAACACACTGCTTGCTGACTTCTCTGATCAATGCACTGGGATGCTGCAAGGACCAAAGTACAAGAGGCCGCTCATTTGTTCTCCCAAAGACACCAAATTAGGGGATGGGGCAAACAATATGATGTTTGGGAACATCAGACAGCACTGAGGATGGTAACAGTGAAGTAAACAATCTGACATTTTATCATTTTGTAGAAATATCCTTCCTGTGCCTCCCAATACTGAGCAAAGCATAGCACAAAACTAGGCCGTTCCTTTCTAATTGTCTATTGCAAGTACTAAGGAAACTTTCCTTACGGTTTGGAATTCAGTTTCTCCATCACAAGAAGCCATCTAAAGAAGGATTTTATCTTTCAGTAAAGCAATGGGAAGAACTGCTCCTCAGGAATGTCCACACTGAACAATTTTGTGTGTAAGAGCTGCCTGCTTATGGTCATAAGTATATACAATTAGATTCCCAGCGTTGAGAATGTAATCCATTGATTTTGAATACGCAAAGTCTGTTCCATATTTTAGTAATCTGAGAAAACTTACAGAAGAAATAGCTGTTGTATCTAATCATAAATTAATTTTCAAGAAAAGTCTGGCTTCTTTTCTTCAAGACTGTGTTATAAGAAATACTTTTAATATATAAAATCAGTGGAATTACAAATACTAACTTATATAATAATCTGCAGTGTTTTAGACCCAGATTGTGCATCAAACACACAGAAAAAGGAAGCATAAGACAAATTATTTCCTGAAGATGAACTCAAGGAAGCTTCCTTAAGCTCAGATTAAGTTCAGAAAATAGCAGTTTTTCAGTCTGGATTTCTTCAGCCTGTTTTACAATAAAGGTGAAATATTACCTAATAATAATGAACTTTAAAGCAGCTATATTAGTTTTTACTAGACAAGACAGTGACACAATTAGGAAAATCTACTTTTATTATACAAAAGAACAAAAGAAGCTTCAGACTATTGTATAAATAACACTTGTTTTTTAAAGAAAGTGAAATAATTAAAGATTTGATCTGTTGGATATAGAAGAGTGAAATCAGTGTTGAATACAAAGGCTTCAGTAGGTTTAAAAAACAAGAACATTTATTAGTAGAACTGCAGAACACTTACAGGACAGTAAATATTCTATCAGTAACAGTGCAGTGTAAAGAACAGAACAGCAAAAGTTCAGAAATGAAACACAAGGTTTAGAGGAAGTTGGGAACAAAGTAATAATCTGAACAATCTTATTTTGAATAAGGAGCAATAAATGCACAACTGAGTAAATAGCAAGTTGTCCTGCTTCATGTACTTCTGTAGAATCAGTACTTCTGAAGAACTGCCTTTCTAAAGAAATGTCTTCACAGATTTTACTCAGAACATTCTGTCGCTCTAGCAAAAAGGACTTTGTATGTAATCTGATGCTAGCTTCCTCTTGGCACTAAAACTAAGCATTTGTCACATCAAATATTGGCTTAGCATGAACTGTAACAAATTTTTAAACTGATAGGCATTTTTCTCCTTGAATTCCAAGAATACAGTGTGTAAATCTGGTAAATAAACAGAGTTCAATAAATTTGGCAATTAAAAACAATGCTTCTGAACATCAAATGCCATCCTTAGTTTACTAATTTCTCAACATGGGTCTTACCTACAAATAATTTTTTAATTTTTATAGCATGTTAAGTTTTCTGTAAGGAGCATAAAATAGTAACAAAACTACAGTAAAAGAAAGCTGACTTTAAAATCATATTAATATAGATTTTTGCTTAAAACATTAGAGATTATGTTCAGAATATTGGATGTATTTCAAATCAAGTTATGTGAACACAAACATGTTTGTAAAGTGCTTTCTGAACAAATAAATAGTTAGAAAACCAACAAATATCAGCAATGTTCTCGAAATTATAACAGCAATACAAGCTTCATCACATATAATTCTGAACTCCCAAGGTGGATACCATCGTGAGTAATCTGAAAATAAACATATCATTAAAAGTTTAGGTGTACATTTTTTTCATTTGCAGTAACTAAGGAATATGAACAACAGTGCAAAATTATAACACTTACAAACAATTTTATCACGTTCTTCATTTCCTGCAGAAAGGAAAAAAAAGAAACAGTTCCATCAGGCAGCCAGAATTTCTCTTTCTTTAAATCTTTCCTAGTAAGCTGAAACTTACCAATGAAACAAGAAAATCTAACAAATCTGAGAACTTGAATTGAGAAACCTTACAAAAAAATGAGATTGCTTCGATAAAAATTAAACTGCAATACTTTATAATGCCTCCATAAAGATATTCTTGCTTCCAACAGTTACACTGATGAGAACAAAGACCCACGTGTAAAGGAATTGAAGCCTTATATGACCATTTTCAGATTGAACCCTCTCTTCTTTGTGCTTCTCAAAATAATAAATACTGTTTGATATTCACAACATACACATGAAGTTAGTACATGCTATCAAGTACAGCCTTACGGTTGAGAATGGGAGACAGACTGTTTCCTAAATTGGGCCTAAATATTGGGGTAAATATAACCTGGTAGTCCTATCTGTTTTTCAGAGATGTCTCCTACTGAGAAATTACGACCCATAACATTAAAGCTATATAACATATATTAAGGCAACTAATTGTTAAACCACGAGTGTAACTTCCAGTTATTGAATGAAACTTAAAAACTTATGCCCTAACTTTAGCCACATGAATCTTCCAGCTTTTGGCTTTCCAGTAGGTAGAAACTGTATGTTTGGGACCTTCTGAAGAGAGACACCGAAGTAAGAACCTTTAGAAGTACACAGAGCGATGCTGATTTCTTTATCTAGCTAATGATGTCATACCAAATACTCTGAACCTTTACAGAGTACAACCATAAAACCACAATACATTTAAAACTGCAATCACGAATTAGCAAATCAAATTGAGACTTCATAAGTATCCCTAGGACACTGATTCAGCAACGTGAACACCTTTGTTTCCAGAATATAAATAGCCTTACGGATAGTTTATAATTGCATAATACAATAATACATAATACTAAATAATACAATTGCAAACTGGACCTGAGAGAGCATCAAAAAGGAGTAAACCACATTTTGCAGCAGTTTTTATCAAGCACTTGGTCATATTTTTTCCTTTTATGTATTACATTTTGCATTGTCTTTCACTTACTACACAGTTTCCTATCACAGAAGTCCCTCCTGGCACATTTACTGCATGGTGCTCCTTCTTTATATGGTCTTCTTCGAAAATTACCACTATAAGGGAAGAAGTTTCTATGAGACAGGTAGGTCATGCATAATTTCAAAGAAGTCATTGGTTGAAGTAAATACACTGAAATACGAGTTGCTCACTATTAAAAACCTTGGAGTCATTTTGAAATCTCTCTTTTCATTTTCTTTGTTCTCTCCACGAGAAAGAAAAGACTTCTAAGAAGTTATTTATTTTTTCTTTTTTTTTCTTTTTTTTTTTTTTTAACAGGAAGGTACTATGGCTTTTTATTCAAATTTTACACTGGTGGATAAATGAGAATGTTCTAGGTAGAATTTTGTTTTAACTGAGATAAATTGAGAAGAGTTTTAGAGTGGAAAATTTTAAAGCTGACACACTCCTGAATAGCTCATAACAAATCATTTAGTAGAAAAATAAAAACAATGTATGTTAACAGGATATTCTGTGGGCTACTCACTGTTGAAAAACATAACCTTTGTTCAGCAAAATACTTGAAAATGTCTAACAGTAAGAATGCAGTCTTAATGAATACAGGTGGATTATTACATGCTTAAGTACCTCATCTAAGTGGAGCCTGACTGTTAAGCATAATAGTCAGCCTGCAGGACTCATTAGTGGCACATTTATACAATCCACTCATACATGTAACTGGTAGATCTGACAGCACAGACAGCATCATTCTGGCCGCCAGGTAATCAGCTGCACAGTATCCTGGCTATGCTGTATGGTCTGCTCAAAAAGAAGCAGCAATGCTATGCTCACAGCCTAACCCTGGGAACAAACAGATTTAGCTCCCCTCAAGGACTGTGGGCTACTTTTCACCTCAATAGCAGACACTTTGAATAATTTTCTTCAAAGAAGATCACTTGCATCAAGACCTATGATAATTTTTTCAGGATTACAAGTTTCTACACACACTCTTCACTATCTGTATTTATAAGCAGGAGTTACCCACCAGACATAAAGATGTATGAGCTGGTAAAACATTGCAGAAGAAGGTGCACAGAGAACCCCTCCAAGACATTACCTGCAATTTAACTGCAACTTTTCTTTGACATGCCTTTACACATCCACACACACTGTTGGTTGGCTTGAGTGTTACCCCAGAAGCTAAAGCAGCCCATTTCCACCACATGCACTGCCCTGAAGCTCAGACAGGAAGAAAATGGAAGCAGAGTGCCCACCCTCGTAACTCTTCTGTTACTAGGAGTCAAAGACCTGCTATAGAAACTTGCTATAGAAAAGCAGGAGAGAGTTCTGTGTACGTATAAATAAATACATACATATACAAAAGTTGCAGGTTAAGTGGCAGAACTTTTAAGTCAACATCCATATATACACTCACAGCATGAGTGATTTCAAACACAAGGCTTACCTGAAAAGGGTCTCAGACTCCAGAATGGAAAGATAGAAGGACAAAGCAAAGCTTCTAGAAACTCTGGCCAAAGCATAATATCAGATAACAGTGTGAAAGGAGGGCCAGCAGGTGATTGTGCATGGTTCAATTGCAGGAATGCAATACAAACCACAGAGATTGCCTGAGCTGCAGTTCAGGAGGTCTTTCTTGGTATCAAAGGCTTCAACTGCAAACAATAATTGTACTGTTACTACAGAGTTTAAAATCCTCTGTAAAATCCTCTTTGAGAAAACAGACTCTGAGCTACATATTCAGAGAGATGGAAGGCACTGTCTGTTTCCTGAGATGCCTTGCCTTCTCATTACAAAGAAATAAATCTAAACATTGAATAACGTCTAAGTTGTGGAGTTGTACCCCATTGAGAAGAAATAATCAATGGGGAAAAAAAGGCACAGATTAACTTTTGAAGAGGAAAAAAAGTCCCCTTCTCAAGGGGGAATGAAAGAGCAGCATAGTAGAGTTCACTTGGCCACTGGGGTGAAACCATCTCACACTTGTAGCAAGATGGGGCAGCCAACTTTGGGCATGAGAATGCTGACGGGAGGTAATGGGAATCTCAGACAAGGATGGTACCACAGCATGCTGTCTCATTTCCTTTGAAAAGCATCTATAAAATGGCTACACTGCACAACTGCTATGCTGAATAAGGTAATTTTAGCAAGGTGATCTTTTAATTGGTGCATCCTCAATTCTGAGAAGAAACTGCTATCTGTCAGGCTAATTGAGTCCTCAGGATGCTCTGAGAAAATGGTCTTACTGTTCTAGCTCCACTTATTTCCTGTGGTGAATTAGAGATTGGGGTTCTTAGTATCATACAGTTAGACCTCATCTCTTTGTTGGATTGAAGTGACAGGACAAGAAGTAGTAGTTTTAAACTCAAAAAAAAAGCAGGCTTAGATTAGATAAAAGGCAAATTCTTCACACAGAGGGTGGTGAGGTGCTGGCACAACTACGCAGAGAGCTGTAGATGCCCCATCCCTGGAGGCATTCAACACCAGGTTGCATGGGGCACTGGGCAGCCCTGCCCGTGGCACAGTGCTTGGAAATGGAAGATCCTTCCAACCTGGACCACTATGCAGCTGAGCTATCAGTTGTCAAGAATCTGTAGGACGGCACAAGATATCAGCATGATAAATTGTTACAGATTAGAAAAGATCAAATTAATCAATCTTTACACACCACTGTTGATGTCAATTAGTCATTATTCTGAATCAGCAATTGGAAATTTTTTTACATCAGATGTTAAAAAGAAAACAGCAGCAAAACTCCATATCCCAGTAAGTTTCAAAATAATAATGCAATTAGAAGTACAGCTAAGAAGAGATAAAGGCAGAACTTAAAGGAAATATTTCATTCAAACTAACTGAACTCCGTGACAGTGGCCCAAGTTTGCTAGAAGAAAAAAAGCTGCCAAGTTTCCCATTTTTTCTGGCTCATATGAAAAAGAAAGAAATGAAGAGGATCATAAACCAGAGTGGGATTTGCTTAAGATTGCCACAGAATGACCTTATCAGTAAAGTTGGTAGATTTAAAAAAAACAAGTACGTGTTGTAATGGTTATGGTTAGTAAATGAATTAGACAACCATTATTCTCTCTAGGTTTAGCATTTGCAAGATCTCAGTTTACTTTTAGTGAACTATTATTACAATTGATTTCTCTTTCTTCACAGTTAGAAGAACAACTTACGGTGGTGCATAGTTGCAAACAAAATTTGCTGCGTTTCTTATTCCTCCAACTTCTTTACAGAAAGCAACAGCACAGCCTAGTTTATATGTGTCATCCCAAACGATCTAAAAAATGTTCAAAAATAAATTAAAATGACACACACGGTAACCTAGTCTAATATCCAGCAAATAGCAGGTTATTTTAAGAGACTCTACATATGAGTTCCATTTTGCAGTAACTGATCTACTCTTAATGTTTATTCATAAAAGAACTGCTGGTAAGAAAGCATTCTAAGATGCACATCCAAATACACCTCAGGAGTAAGAGAGCTATACTGCAAGTTTCCAGAATCTTCTACAGGACAACTTTAGTAAACATCACTGGCTTTATGGTTGCTGGGCAGGTTCCAAGGAACAGAAGAGAAATCAGTGGCAGCTACCTGACAGCTTCTTTAAGTAGGACTGCAGAAAAAGGCTTCTTACGTGCACTAAAAATGGCCTGGCTGGTAACTACAACAAACTTAACCTGAAAGCTTTAGCACTGTACAATTTCAGACTGACCACTGCTAGCTGCCATACTTGAACAATGATGGCTTACTATCGCTTACAATCTGAGCATTCACTGCTTTTTCTTGGGAGATTCCTTCTATATCCTCTGCATACGTCCTGAATTTAGTTAAGAACTTTCAACTATATACCTACAATATCTGGATGATCACATACCCCACTTCTGGAAAACAAAGACAAACCAGATTGCTCTCAGTTTCTCCCCAGCATGAACAGTACAGGCCTCAGACTGACAAAACCATCTGAACTTTCCCAAAAGTTCCATCCTGTCCATTTTAACTGCAAGAAGTGGTTAAGCAGTATGTTAAGCAGACATCACCTTGCTTAGAAAAGGACTTAAATGTTTAATTAAAAAAAAGCTTAATTAACTGAGTCCCAGATTAAGGACCATCTTTCTCTTTTCTTACTAGATATAATTGATATTATGGGATATAATTGATTTCGGCTGGATTTCCATTTTCTCTTGGTGTTTTTTTTTTTTCCTAATAAGGAGTTCCCCCAGACATTTTGCAATTACTGTGATTATTTCCAACACCAACCTGACATTTCCAGAATTCAGAATGGTGTGTGTACACAGCTGGAGAACTCGGAGTGATTACTAAGCAGAGTTCACAAAGTGCTGATACAATTAAATGAGTAGTGAGGCTAACACTGTAGGCAATAGTGGATTGTTATTACACATGATTTTATGAAACAAGAAGGTGAACCAGGTAACTTGCAGTGCTGCCACTGCTTGAGATCAGAAAAGACAACAAGCTGATGGTCACTACAAACCACATTCACAATTCTGTATTAGTGACAGACCCGGATTTGTCCGCTAGGCACTATACTACTAACTACACAAAAGATTTTACTGAAGATGATTCTTACCTGAGTGTAATGACTGCAGACTTTACTGCATTTCTGCAATGAGTAATTGTAGTTTCTGACTTCATCATGCCACGCTTTAATGGCATATTTAACATGAAATATTTGATGACTTCCAATCCATATATTCTCTCCAACACTCATAAAATGAGGATGGCCATGATATCTCACGTTTAAATGCATGTTATGATCAAAAATGCATTTATTTGCCCATGCCCTGGCAGTCCTTGCCAAAGCTGCATCCCAAGTCTGCAAAATAATAAAGTTGAAATAATTGTGCAATGTCAAGTTACAGGAGTCTCCAACAGTCAGATAAGAGCAGGCAATAAAATGGACAGATACAGATTATTATATATTAATAACAGGTAGACTTTATATATTGGAGCTACATAAAGAAATGCTTTTCCTTATTTAAGGCAAGTACTCGTGTTTTATTTTGACTTTTCCAGTGGCAGCACAGAATGACAAACTTGAAAGAATTTTCCCCTTTTCACTGCTGAAAATTAACTTTGTAACAGCACATACTAGCAACTAAAAAATGTTTGGAATGCACTTTTATCTTCAGATAAATGAGTCATTAATTAAGCGTGAAATTTCTGGGGGATTTTTTCTTACTGAACAAATTGTTAAGGATTTCCATCACATAAACATTAATTCAGAGTAAAAAATACACAGCTTCTGTAGATTAAGATGTATAAATATTTTATGCATTTTGATTCTCCACAAACACATCCTGCACTAATGCTTTAAATACACCAGAGCATTTTACAAACACAGCTTCATAAAATACGTTTGTTTGGCAAATAATTTATTCTGCTATTTATTATTTCTCTGCAGTCTACCACTGTAACATAACTTCTGATTATTTAACAAATGTATTTTGTATTTGTGTTCCAGTCATGAGTGCTTTCCAGCAGGCTTCTTCTATCTGTAACGACCTAGTTTTATGTCTTACAGAAAAGACCCCAGGTTTTAATGCCTAAGCTTAGCATTGTGCAGACATTTTGGTTACTTTTTGTCTCTACATGGCTGCCAATGTTGTTATCTCACCAAGGCCTGTTGCTTTTGTTTCTAGCTATCTGTCTAAATTCATATTTCCTTTTTTCATCATTTTTGTCTGCTTTTCCTACTCCAGAACACTAAACCCAGGCACAGCGCTTTAACAAGGTACTTCAGCCTGAAAGTTATATGGCTCTCCATCTACCATTCTGGATTCTAACCCATACACACAAAGCCATTCTGTTCCCACAGCATGAGAGCATGTGATTATTTTCAGGACTACTTCAAAATACCAAGATATCAGGTCTCTTTTTTTCAGCATGTTCTTCAGTTTTGTTTAACCATTTTCACCAAAGTTTTCAGTGCCATTTGTGTCAGTACCAGATACAAAGACTTTTCCTTGATACCAGAGATCTCCAGCCCCAGCAGTCCAGTTTATACTCTTGCTTTTGACAGAAAACTGAACTGCCATCTGGTGCTGGACTGCTTATCTTCTGGAGGGAGCTCAGGGGAGACCTCATGGCTCTCTACAACTCCCTGAGAAAAGGTTGTAGCAGGGTAGCAGTCAGCCTCTTCTCCCAAGTAGCAATGATACAATAAGAAATAGGGGCCAGGAGTTGCACCAGGGAGGTTCAGGTTGGATATTGGGAAGGATTTATTCTCAGAAAGAGTGGAGTCATGGGCACAGGATGCCCAGGTAATTGGTGCAACCCCTGTCCTCTGAAGGTGCTTGAGACGTGTGGAGATGTGGCTCTGAGGGCCGCCGCACGGTGGTGCTGGGCTGAAGGTTGGACTGGATGATCTCAGAGGTCTTTTCCAACCTTAATGATTCTGTGATTCTTCCAACCAGAAATTCCTTGGGGCTAACGTGAACCTCTTCCGTTTGCCCATCCTATAGCACCAAGCTGCACGCACAGCTGTTTCTATCTCACCTGTCTATAACCAACCCAACTTTCTAAGATATTTCTCATCAAATAAGCATGATGTTATCTGAACACACACGGCACTGCTTCTACCCCGGCCATCTCACTGCGCCACCCCGCTCACACAGCCGCAGGCCGCCGCCTACCATGTACCGCATGTTGCTGGCGGTGGGCTCCACATTCCTGCGGTACACGTTGTGTGTGCGCACGCACTCCCCGATGAAAGCCTTATCAGAGATGGGCGGCAAGGCGGGGACCTGCCCGGCCACCGTGCCCAGTGCCGCCGCCACCACCGCCAACACCAACAGCCTCATGGCGCCGCACTTGCCGCAACCGCTCGGGCACGCGACGGGCGGCGGTGCCGCTTCCAGAACGTTCGGCGGGCCGGCTGAACTACAGCGAACTACAGCTAACAACAGCTAACTACAGTCCCCTGCAGCCCCCCGAGTGCGGCACCGCTCCCCATCCCCTGGTCTCGGCCGCTTAGAGCTCCGAGCCGCGCGGGAGCCGTGAGAGGGCGGCGTGCTGCCGGCACAAGGACCGCCCCGCCCGGCCGCCGCTCCTCCTCCGCGCCGCTGCTGCGCGGCCGCCGGGCGGGCGTCGGCGGCCATGGTGCTGTCGGTGCCGCAGCAGGCGGTGGTGTCGGTGGTTTTGGTGCTCTGCCTGCTTGTCGTTATGCCCAGGATGTTCGGGGGAGGCGGAGGCGGCGGCAGGGCCGGGCGGGCTCCGCGGGGCGGCAGGGCCGGGCCCGGCCATTTCGAGCCGCGGCAACAGCAGCAGCACAGAGGTACGGGCCCGCGATGCCGGAGGGGCCGCTCGGAGCCGTGTTTGTCGGGGCGGCCCGAGGAGAGTCCGTGGTATGGAGGGGGCCGTGAGGGGGGTGTTGGGAATGCCTACACGTGAGCGAGCGGGGCCCCACCAGCAGCGTGTGTGAGCTTTAAACCTCCTGCTCCTTTGTGGCCCTGCTGGTTGCTGTCTGTTTGTCTTTAGAAAATTATTTACAGAGTATAGGTGAAACCGTGTTGCTGGAAATGTATGATGCCGGTCAACGAAACGAACGGGTAAGTGTATTGCATTGGCTGCGGGAATGAAAACTCTTCTCCCCTTGCCATCCAGCCTGTTCAGCTTGCAGATATCAGCGCTGCCATCTGCAGCACCTCTGATGCTGCCGTGGCCCAAGTTGTGCAGAGTTGAGCCTGTGCTGGGAGGACACTGCTCTGTGTCCTGCTCCTGCCAGGCCAGCCTTTGCTTCCTGTAGTCCTGCAGTCTTCTCATTGAGAGCAAACTCAGTGGAAGAAAGGAAGCAGACGAGGGAGGGAAGCATTTAGCATTCAGGCAGTACTTGTTGGCTATAAATGGGAAGCTGTTGTGGCCACACAACGTATGTAATGTTTCAAGCAGCCTGAGCTGCCTGGCAGGGTACATCTTGGCTCAGACCCTCGGGGACAGCTTTGGGGTAAATGTCTCTGTGCTGGCCATAAGCATCTCTGACCTTGCCTTCCTGGGCTGAAGGTAGATGGCCTCTTCTAAAAGGGGGGCCACAAATACCCCTCACATTTAATACAACTGCTGCCTTGCTCCTGAAACTGCTGTGGCCTCAACAGGGACTCATTTGACAGAAAGGAACATGATGCAAGATTGTGTTTACTCTTAAAAGAACCAAAGCAGAAATACAGCATTGAAATGTTTTCCTTGTATGTCTGTCTTTTCTGTGGTTTGTCCCTGCATTAGCCAACGTGTGCATGAAGGGAGAAACACAAAACTTGTATCTTAAAGCAGCATGGAAACTTAATTTGAGAATCTTTCCTACTCAGATTTAACTTTATGTTCTATTTATAGAAGGTTGATTACTGGTAGCTTTGTTTGAATGTGGAGCTGACAGCATCATCTGCTGGAGTGAAGAGTGAAGCTGATCACAAGAAGGAAAGAAATTAATTCTGGTTGTGAAGCTGATCGCACCTCTGATTTCATTTTTTTATTTTGTCTTATTTCTTTCAATTTAACTTTGAAGGTAGTCCTCAGACAGTTCATCAAGGTCGCCCAAATCCAGGAAATCCTGAAGGTAGTGTTTACCAGAGTATTCAGCAGATGAGAAATGCAATGGCAAAAGAGATAAAGAGTGAGAGGACAAGAGGAAATGGCAGAGACTTAGCATTCACACTCATGCCCTTGTATGCTCTTGGAGTGGGAGTGTTTGCAGCATACAAATTCCTTAAGGTAAGATATATGAAAGTCATTATTATTGTTGAAATTGAAAGGAAACTTTTTTTCTCCCCAGGTCTGAGCCCATGTGTGTGGTTGTCTGATGATGTTAGATCTATCTTGTAACATAAATGCTGTAGTTAAGTATATGTCATTCTTCCTAATGAAGGCATTGGCCTTATCTTTTTTAGATGCTTAAATGAGAGTCTTATGCTTCTTCTCCCAGTCTCATAAAAGAATCTGAGAATATGAACAGTGCTGTTACTGAAGCTGTAATTTCAGTTTCATCAGTATTTTTCATCCTTCAGAATGAGCTGGGATATGGGAACAAGGCTATTCCTGCAAAATAACAGCTTTAGGCTAGCAACTGAATAGAACAGTGAGCAGTAATAATGAGCAGTCTAGAACTTCTCCCTACCCTGACCCCTCTCATTTGATCAGGCTGCTGTAACAAAGACTGCTAGCCATGAAATGCAATGCCTTTTGTACCATTAGTGAATTAAGAAAGGAGAATGCATGATCAATTTGTTCTTAGCTGTTTTAGTGTCACACTTGTTAGATATTATGGGTAGCATTTGAAAGATTGTGTGCATCTGGAACGTTGTTGCTTGCCTTCAGGGGGGAGAAAATAAAAAAATAAGTCAAACTTATTTTTATATGTATACTGCTGAACGGTGTACACAGTCTTTTCATGTCTATAATCAATTTCATATCATATATGAGAAGAATACAACTTAGCAAGATGAAGGTAGAAGTTGAACAATTTGGGTCTAAAAATAAATGTAATACTAGAAGTAATTAGGTTGTAAGTAAGATTTAATATCATAAAAACTCTATTTTGGATGTTATGACTCTGTAACTTGTGCTTGCAGGCCTGAAACAAAAGCTTCTATAGTAACATAATATTTTTATGACATTTTTATTAGTTTAAGGAAAGTAGTTTTATCTCCTAATTAATAGCAATCTAGAGGGTTTCTTCTACTACTTTTGTAAAACTGAAGATGAAGCAGCCACTTCTTTTATAACTTTCCTCAGTCATGTTAACATTGCTTTGAAGTGTTATGTTAATATTGCAAGAAGGCAAAGCAGAAATGAAATTTCCTTAATGGAGCATAAATTTTACAGTTGCTGTTTTCTTGCAGTGAATTTCTGATTGTATTTTTATTTTTAATGTAAAGATACTAATGTAATCTTTTAACACAATTTTGTTTATCAAAGATGAAGGCACATGAAGAGAATCTCTCTGAGAAGGAAAAGAGTACAGAAGAGAAGGCAAAGGAAACGGGTAAGATTCCCACTCAGAATGCATACATTCACCACCTGCGTGTATTTCCTGCTGAAACAAGGCTACTGATTTTCATGAATATGTTCTAGCTCAACCAGGAAGTTCTTTTCAGTTACTTTGGCGCCATTAGGGAAGGACAAAAAGCATTTTGTTATTCTGTGTATTTCACACACTTACTGGATTTGGTTGAAAACTCCCAATGGAATTATTCTTTAAAACAGTTACAGTATTACGAGGCAGAGAGCCATTATATAATGGTTTCAGTTTGTGTAGTGGTTCTCTGCCTTGTAATGTGCGATGTTCTTGTCACTCGATGCCTGGTGAATGGCTTCATTAGATTAGAGTGTTAAAATAGGATATAATATCTTTGAGAATTAATAGGATGTTGTAGGAGAATATAACAGTATTATGCAGTTATACAGATTGTTCTTTTTCTGGGCCAAATTAGAGATCAAAGTCATGATTTGTTTATAGAGGAGAGAAAGTAAGTGATGCCATCTTCATGAAGCAAAAGTGCCCTTGACTGTCTGATTCAGTGTGTTTAGGACACACCAAAAAGTGAACTTTCTTTTGGAGAAAAAGTTAAGGCACATCAAAGTTGTACTGTTCTCATACCTTTTCTTGCCTCTTGTATAGGCATGCTTCTAGTTAAGTGAACAACTGGCAGCCTCTTTTGGTGTCCCTGTACAACAGATCTGTAATTGTTTTTGGCAGTGATTTGTTATGCTGCTTCCTCACCACCCTCATATATTGTATTTTTCTTTCTTCAGAGTTTCACAGTATTTTAAGAGGAGTTACTCCTCACAATGCTAGTGCCTTAAGCACTCGTTGAATGCAACTATTTCAATGTAGTTTGCAAGGTAAGAGTAAAAAAAAATTAATGACAGTATGAAGGATGAAGGCACTGCTTTTGACTTGGGAAATCTTAAAACTGCATAGTTCTTCAGGCTGGGAAAGTGGCAGTCAAGTTCTCAGATTCTACCAAGGTATGCCTGTGTTGGATACTGTTCGAGAGAGATTACTGGATAAGAGGGATTTCAGGACATGCACTTTAAAGTTTCTGTTCTTAACCCAGCCATCTCCTTTTCACGTTCTAGATTTTAGAGAAAAAACCTTTCTGAATTTCGAATCTGTCCATCCAAAAGTATAAAGTAATATTGTTTTGGCACTGTAAACGCTTCTAATGTAACATTCTCTCTCTCTTTCTCCCTGCTCTTTCCCTCTTTTTTTCAATTTGTTTTTCTGTTTGCTAGAACATCAGCTTTTAGAATTGGAGCAGCACCTGGCACAGACAGAGAAAATGTTAAATTCTTTGTTGACTCAGTTGGATCCCTTGTCAAATTGGTGAGTGTTTCAAAAATGCTTCAGTATCCATCTTCTGTTAAGTGAACTTCTGCAAAATAACACATTTCTGAAATACAGGTAGAAAATATTGCTTAGAAACCTTCCTTAATTACTGTTTATGTAGCCTTTAATAATTCTTTCATTTATGGTATTTTCTGCAGACACCTCCTTTCCTTTGTTCATCAACATAAATGCCAAAGCTCAGACTTACAATCAGATTACTGTCACTGAACAAGTTAAATTGTAAAGTGGACTGAGGAGAATAATACTGAAAAAACACTTAAGCTCAGCAGCCTTTGAAAACCCTTGTGGGAATTACATTTCTGGTAGCAAACTGAATTCTTTCAGTTTGCATGTCATTAGAAGACGAAATCGGTTATCAAGGCATAGCTGCTTATTTCTGTGTTTTGAAAAAGCTTTAAACTGAATGTGTGCATTGGAGAGAAACATAACTGATCTTTGGTGGTGAAAAAATGGGAATGAATAATATTACCTCTCTGTAGTTTAATCAGATGTTCTTTCGTTAAGAAGGTAGGACCTTATGCATGTACCAGAAATAAAAGTATACATGCTGTATATTTTGTGTAGACTTGACAGCTTTCATGAAGCCTAGTTTAAAACATGGTGAACTTCACAATTGCTCCTTTAGTATACTTCTAAATTTAATATATATTGAAACTATTAAATAGTAAGAACATTAATAGTAAGGCTAATTTGTTTACCAAATTTCTGGTAGTCATAAGGAAGAGAAAGAGAGTAAATAAAACCAGAAATAAATGAGAAAATGCTCTAAGCTGAAATTTTCTGTATTGGCCATGGTTCTCCTAAAACCAAAATTAATTGGGTTGTTTCTTAAAGTAGTCATTACGCAACCTGAGTGATTGAATCTCCACTGTTTGAATTCAACAACTATTCAGTATGTGTGTGTGATCGTAGAATCACAGAATATCCTGAGTTGGAAGGGGACCCACCAGGATCACAAAGTCCAACTTCTGGCTGCATGCTGGAGCACTCAAATCCAGACCATGTCTGAGAGCACTGACCTAATGTTCCTTCAACTCCATCAGGCTTGGTGCTGTGACCACTGCCCTGGGCAGCCTGTTTCAGCTACCTCCCGGTAAAGATCCTTTTCCTGATGCAGATCCTGATGCAGCTCTGTGCTGTTCTCTCGGGCCTCTTTTTGTGGAGCTGTGCTCCAGCCTCTCATCCCCAGTCTGTACATATCCAGGGTTGCCCCGTCCCAGGTACAGAATCTGGCACTTGCTCTTCTTTAATTTCATACAGTTGGCGATTGTACAGCTCTCTAATCTGTTAAGATCTCTTTATGGGAGACGTTCTCAAAGAAAAACTTGACAAAAATTATTACTAAACTAATGTATTTATGTACGGAAAGAAATACTGCTCTCATATGCATTGTTATTAAGTAGTCATTTCTAAGGTGATGTTTCAGCTGTTGATAATATCGTCATTTCTAAGGTGATGTTTCAGCTGTTGATAATATCTCTTTTCTAGTGTTAATGCTTTAGCTTGTGAGCAGAAAGATGAAATAATGACACAGATCCAATCAATTAGACGACTGATGAAAGAAAGTGGATTGGATAAATCAGAAAACAAGATGACAGGTACTTCCAATTTTCAGTGGGATAGTTATCTAATTAATTTATATTTTAAACAGTCAACATCTTTCTGTGATAATGTTCAGCTCCTGCATCTTAGGTGAAATAAGTGTAGAATTAATTTTATTCTGCAGTTGTACTATTCTTCCTGTTTGAGTGGAATCTATTATCAAGTTTTTTGATACACTGTAGGTTTTTTTTAAGAATAAATGCTAAAATATATTGAACTGACATGCTATGCTTTCAAGAAACTAGCTTCTTGAATGAAAGTCCTTGAGCAACCTATTAGTATTGATCTAATTTTAGTCTGAGGATACCCACGTGTGGACCTTAGAGGTTGTGGGCAATACTGCACAGTTACACTGAACAGCAGATTGTATGTTAGATTCCTCTGGGATCTTCCAAAAGGTGAACAGTAGTCCAAGAGAAATTTTAAATGTTAGGAACAGTTGATTAGAAGTTTGGCAATTTCTCCATTAGTTGAATTTTATTAAAAGAGAGAAAAAAGAAATAAATATTCTACTTCTGAACTGCCTCTAAACTTGGAACCTGTCCAGTAATTCAAACTTCTTTTTTTTTTTTGTAAATTGTAAGATGTCAGCCACGTTTGTAATGAGAAACTTGAAGATCTCCTTCAGTCATTTTCTGAACATTCTCCAGAGAAAGAAATGAATGACGGAGAAGATGACGGTAATGAAGATTTGCATGAAGATGCTGATGATGATTACAGAATAGAGGAGCATGAATTACGTGATGAATGTGAGGTACATCAGTTTGAAACAGATGTAGTAGAAGACCAAGAGATGATAAACAAGGATTTGATAGAATCAGAGATGGGATTGAGGAGACGTAATAAATATGAATGAAATCTGCATGTGTAAAACTTAAAAAGCTTATGAATTTTTTTTCACAATGTTGTATGCACTTTAAACTGTTTTGAATGAAGTTATGAAGTTATGTGCACTGCTGTATGCTTTAAAAAGAGGGATTAAAACTGCTCTTATCTGATCTTTCTGCAGTTGATTTCAATGGCAGCAAAGTTTCCCTGGAGATGTTTACATATTTTATCTATTTATTTTTTCCTATAAAGATATTTCTGTACTTTGTATATAATACACTGTAATCTTATGCTTCACTGAAATATTGGAATATCTTGTAATTTAGACTGAAAATAATAGGTGCTTCATGTTTTGTAACTAGTAAGCACAGTACCACTTGAAGTGTGATTTCTTGAGTTCATTAAAGAGCATGAGTGATGAATTTAGCTCTTTGTGGAAGTCTTTGGAGGGAGGGGAAATAAAAAACAGTTATGGGTAGATGTGTTAGAGATGTGTTAATGGAGAAATTTCGTGATTGGCAGAGAAATTTAGCCACAAACACTATTGAAATAATTTTCACTTGTTGTCTTGTCAGGAATGGTGTATAGTTTTAATGTCAATGTCAACCTTAATGCATTACACTGGGTAGCTTCATTTTTTTTTTTCCCCACAGCTGTACCTGGTTAAACCTGGCAGCTGTGCAATCACCGACTTACCCCTTAGTACTTGTGTCCTTGCTTCATATTAAGACTGTTGAACCTGGCCTGATTCATTGTACTGTGCTGTTATTTTAAGTTAGCATTACCAGATGTGCTAGTGCTTCTCGCTCAAGAGCTGTAGGTTTGGTTGTTTCTTACGTACTGTGCCAACTGGACTGTGGCTTTCTAGGTAATTGTTTAAACAAGCTTTTATTATTATTATTATTAGTATTCTCCTTCTCCTTTGCTGTAATCATTTCTATCCAGACCTTAGTTTTCTCTTAGTTTTTTCTTCACTTCATGCACGTGCCTATGATGCTGCAATGCTTCAGTTGCAGAAATGAGTTCAGAGGTCGGTGTGCCTGAAGAATGCTGTTGATGTTTGGTTTTAGAAGTACGTAGCTTTTAAATAATCAAGTACAGCGCCGTGACTCTTACCTTCTCCCACAATTCGGCCTACAGCCATTCTCACCGCTGCCGTCTCTGCTTATTTTGTTCCTTCGGAGCCTGACCGCAGCCCGGGCTTTGCTGAGCTTCCACAGCGCCCTGCACGGCCTGGGGCGGAGTGACGGGCGGGACGCGGCGCCGTTACCACGGGGACGCTTGGGGCGGCCGCCCTCCTCCGGCCCTCTCTGGTTTGCTCGGCGTTAGCTGCGTTGCGCTCCGCCTGAGGCTTCGTTGGGAGGGCCGGGGCCGTGCCGGGTAGTTTGTGGCGATTTGTGTCGAACGCCTCGAGAAAGGTCGTGAGTCTGGGAGGCCGCCTCAGCGAGTCCCGCGCGGCCGGCTGCGTACACAGCGCGCCGTGCGCTTCCCGCCTGGTGAAGGGGGGGGCCCCGGCGCGGTCGGTCCGGAAGGTAGAAGCGGGGTCAGCCTTCGTGGATGGCGGTCTAAAGAGGGAGCGTCTGTTGTCTGGGATAATACGCAATGAGCTTTGGGTTTAAACTCGCTAGATGGAAGGAAAAAACAGCCCAGCAGGGAGGGCAGACGGGTGAAATGTGAGCTGTGTTTTTCAGTTTATTCTGAAGGCTGTCACTGCGTTTGTATGGATTTGGAAGTGAGAGGAATTGCTGCATCCCCTCGAAGGCAGACTCAGCTGTTGTCGAAAGAGAAGAAATGTCAGGTATGTTAACAGAGCGCGTGTGGTTGTTTTCTGTCCCTATGCTGAGGTTTTTTTACAGAATTTTAACCATACACTAAGGTTTAGGGTTCAGGGCTTCAGTGCATTTGGTGGAGAAGAAAGCTTATAAAGAAGTTAATTCTGACAAAGGTGATAGTTTAGTGATAATTCCATACAACTGTTTCTCAAATAAAGAGACGGATTGCAGAAAGAAGCACACCAACATGCTGAGTACTACCTGGAGCCTGGAGAATGTAAGAGCAAATGTTTGCAGCAAGGACTCAACCTGTGCTCTGTGCTGTTTCAGACTCCTGGTGAAACTGGTGACAGCGTTTCATTTTCCAAAAGAGCAATAAAGTCCAACAGCCTTCAAAACATAATCTCAGAAGGAGTGATGCCACACTGCCTTTGTGTGAAATAAATCCCAGTGCTCAGCATTCGTCATGACAAGTGATCTTATTTTTCAGGTAGTGGCTGACCTTTTGAGTTCAGATAGGTAGACAGCCCTCACAGGATTACTGTAGGTAGACTTCCAGGTTAATTTTTGAAAGGCTGACTAGAGTAAATATGATCTTGGATTATGAGAGCCATTGGTTTTATTACAGGTAAAGTAAATATTTTTTGTAACAGTTGATTTTTTCTCACAGATATGGGCATAAGGTATGCAGTGAAATAAACTTCATCTGCAGTGTTCCCTTAACCTGCATGCACCCATTTACCTTCCATGTTTATTGAAAAAACTTGGGTATTTACTCTGGGTTGTAAAAGAAACATTCTTTTTATGCCTGTCAGTTTCCAAATTTAGACTCCTTATTACATGACTTTTTGTGGCTTGAAAAACTGTAGATTGAAATGAGGTTGAGACTGTGTCCTAATAAATGTGGGTAGTCTTCAGGACAACTTTGCTATATTCTGATTTGATGACTCTCAGAAAAGGCATTAAACATGTTGTATTCTTTCTTCTTAAAGGCAGTTGAAATGCTGCAGAAAAACTTGTGGTTTAATGCGCTGCAAAAATACATGAGACAGCACACTGTTATTCCAAGAAGACTAGAGTTCGTTTACTTTGGTTAGTTTGAGGAGTAAGACTGCATTTTGTCCCTTAAAGACTTTTCACATATTTCACCACAAGGTGGTGGTGTTCATTATGTGCGGCCGCTCTGAGATTTGCTTTTTTTCTTTTTTTTTTTTTCTTTTTTTTTTTCTTTCTTCTTCCCTTCCCGTCCCCCCCCAAACCTAAATACCCTTTTCGGAAGACACTAGAGGCTGGTGGTGCTAAGTTTTGAACTCTCTTTTCCAGGGGTATGCTGCCAGGGTGTGTGGGGAGGAAAGCAATTAACAGTTCTGTGATGGCTTTCAAATCATGCATGCATTAGGCCACAGCTGGAAGCAGGATGCTTGCACAGTTCAGGGTGCAGTGCTGACATCTATATGTTAAGGTGTTTTAAAAAACAAGGTGCTGCAGAACATCTGTGAGCCACATATTTTTTTTTTTTTTCCCCAACTGGAAGGCCAGCTGGAGGAATTACTTCTGGCTCGAAGTAAGCCAGCTGTCCGTCTGTGCTGTGGTTTCAGTTTATGGGCTGGCTGAGGGCTGGCTCAGAAACATTCCATGCCATCATCCATGTGACCTTAAACCTGGTGAGCAGTTGTTGTATGATCAAAATCTCAGAAACGTGGATTATTTTTAATGTATTAATAGCCGGTGTGGATGTTGTCTGTACTCTTAATGTCAAGAAAACTTTCTGTATTGACAAATACTGAATATTCTTGTTTCAAGATCTGTAAGAATCATCTTTTGGTGAAAAGCTTTTGTTTTGTCCTTCTATTAGTGCTATCTCAGTCAAATACATACATCAGATATCTGGAGACATTGGTTCTAAACAAAGGCAGGCTGAAAGAGACAACTGTGTGTTTACCTCCTGACCTCTGTCAGCATTAATAATGTGTCCTTCTAGGGTTGGAGACCAGATACACGTGCTGCTCGGGGTCCTCGCCCCCCAGAGTAAGTCTGCTCATGTTTTTCTGAATCAGATTTCATCTGATTACTTTAATAATTTACACCATACACTTGCATTTCTACATCATACGTAAATCAGTGTTGCATGAAATTTATCATCTTAAGGCTGTTTTCTGTGACATGTTAAAGCAAAAATTTTCAATGCATTATTTACATTAGTGAAGTGCCTTACAGCCACTGTATCTTTCTACATTATTTTCCAGCTGTGTGTCATTATGGCCTTGTTGTTCATATCTGCGTCAAAGAACTTCAACTTTTTGTGTACTGTCAGTCAGTTTGTAATGAAAAACAGCTGGAAATTAATGAGCTCTATTATTTGTAGAAGCAATCATGTTATAATAGGGTTGTTTGGAAATACTGGCAGTAAAATTCAGTCCCCCCCGAGGGTAACTGAGGTAAAGATATAAGACACAGAAATTCTTAAATAAATCTGTGATATTTTCATTTCTTTGAGCAGAAGTGTGTGTGTGTGTGTACACGCTGAAGTATAATTTGCTCCCACTATGTAGTTAGGTTCCGCTGTATTAGTCTAGTTCAGATAATTGAGAATGCTTGCATCCTGAGGAATTATTGCTTCCCTGTGGGCTCTCTGGTGACTGGTTGTAGAGGGATGTTTCCACAGACCTGCTGTGGAAAATGGAAATAAGAATTCTTGATTTATGATCTGTTGCTTTGCTGGGGCTGTCTGAGGCTGGGAAGGAAGGAGAACCTTGCAGGGGCCTTTTGTGGTTGCTGGTGTGAAGGAGGAAAAGCTCATTGTCTGGCTCCTGAGGGGCTAATAGACGTTTCCTAAGTAGGCTGTTTCTGGTTGTAAGGAAACTTTTGTGTAGGTACTAATAGAAGTAACTACTGGAGTTTGTTTTTAATGTACCTGGAAAAATAAGAAACGTATTGTTCCTAAAATCATTTTAACTTCCTGCAGGGTGCCATGCCTAGATCTAGGGAGGCTGGGAGATTCTGATGATGAGGTAATTAATTCGGTCTTGAATGGTTTTTAGAATTCACGTGTTGCAAGAACTTACCAAATACGTTTCTGAATATTAGAAACAAACAACCCGATCACTTGTCCTTTCTTGGTTTAGGATGGGAACTCTTACGTACCGTGCAGTAGAAGTTTTCCTCACACACGCTCTCTAAATTCATCTTCGGATTGGAGAACGTCGTTAGAAATGCCACATGGGCAGCATCTACCATCTCAACAGGTCAGTCTCTCATAACAAATCTGTTTAAAATGTGCCCCTTCAGTAGTAATTTGGAAAAAGTAGTTCAGTATTTTAGTATCATCATGCAGGTTTTTTTGTTTTTTTTTTCTTTCTCTTTCGATTACATTCTCATATCCGGTTGCTAATGGTCCAAAGTAATTTTGTCAAAGGAGTTTCTACTGAGAAGCCTATAGCATATTTTGAAAATCCAATGTTTGTTTAATGCCTGAGCTCATCTTCATTGGTAGATGCATTTATCCTTCTCTTAGTAACTTGCAAGAGATATATTAACAACTAGCATGTAACTCTATCTTTCTGATCTATTAAAGTTAAAAGGTGAGATCAATAGTGATCATTAAGCATATGACTGAAAAAAACAACCTAAGCTTACAAACAGTAAAGTATTCTTTCTATGGAAGAACAGTTACTTTTGAAAAGGGAACTTTTGGAATTAGGTACAGATATTTCTATCAGACTTTTTTCCAGTCTCTTTAAAATATAACTGTTTGATATTAATTTTGAAAGTATGCTCAGTTGGTCTGAGCACTTTCATTGTTAAAATTTCCCAATCATCTACCGGCATTATTTTCTGGTTGACTAAAACTTAATCACTGCAAATCTTCGATGCTTTATACGGAATATCAGTAGTACAGATGGTTCTGTAAAACATTCTGATTGAAAAATTACAGCACTGTTCAGGGTCAGCGTCCAGTATAATAAATGTAAGAGTTAATTGCTCAGATAGTTTTCCTTTGAACGTTGATCTGAGTTAAGTTTGGAAAAAATAAGTGACAGTTTTTTATTTGACCATTCCATACATCTGAGATTTTGCTAATTACTATTTAATTTTTCTTTTTAACAGATTTCTAGAATGTCTTGTCAGATGAAAAGAGAGGTAGATTAAGCAATATACGCTGACAAAGTTAGCGACCAAGTAGTAAACACAGCAGTGAATGGTCTGAAAGTGCAGTATGTTTCAACATCTTTTGTGTTGCAGGAAGTAGCTTTTTTAACAGTCTTCTTAATTTGTTATTCTGCATCCTAGGGTATTTTGAAAATGTTTCAAAAATGATAATTAGAGAGAAAATGCTGACGCTTAATACAACACTTCTCTGTTAGTGATCCCTAAATATTTGAGAGGTGAGGTATCTGGAGCTTTTAAACTAATTCAGGAAGCACCAACATATTTTTCTGTCATTGTCATGCACTTAACATAAACTTTGTAATGTTTTATTTGTGCAATTTTATTTGGTTAGAGTGCAGGAAATACCCTGACTTACCAGTGTTATCTGGAAGAACTAGGAAGTACTTTCTACTGTTTAAAACCTATTATTTCAGAAATATTTAACTTAAACCTAAGAACTACTGAATGACTATCTCTGTCTAGAGCACCAGCACTGCCAGAGAGAAAGCAATTATGAATACATTTACATATAGTCTCTATTCCTAATTTATTGACCTGTATGGCAGGACTCCAGATTGGCTGGCACTCGAAGGTGAATCTGCCAGTATCATCATTTTGTTTGTATGACCAGGTGGTTTCCCAACTTGAAACAAAATATATTTAAATCTGAAATATTTAGTAAGTTTGTTGTTTGTTGTTTTTTTTTTTAATAGAGAAAATACGGAGCAGTGTGGAGTAGGAGAGAATTAAAAAGTTAGTATATAGCTTCATTCCTGAGTGCTGTGTCTCTTGCATGTACTCATGGTTGCTGTAAAATCAAACACTGAATTGCAGTAGACCAGTCTCTAGAGGGGTTTTGGTTTGATTGCCCTTGCTAAATGCTATCTGTCTGGTCCTTGCTATTTCACAGTATAAGCTGTAGCCCCTGGGCTGTAAGCACACTGCTCCAGGCTGTGCCTCCCTGTCCTCCACACTTTGTAGAAGTCTCTCTCCTGATTGATCTTGTCATTTCCTCCAGAGAAGGCACAGTCTCCTTTCTACCCCCTATCCCCTTCTTCATGCTTCTTTACTTCATCCTGTCTTACTGAAGGTAACTAGTAAAATTGTGAATAAAAATAGAAAAGCCTAAAACACATCCATCACAAAAACAAATAGAAGTATTTTTCTGAAGAGGTTTTCTGAATATAAATAACACTGATTTGCTGCAGCTTCTCACTTACTCTTTATTATTGTTTAAGCTTCTGAATGCTGCCTGAAGCCTAACTCCTTTGTTGTTTCTTAGAGTTCACAGCTAACGAGTATGTTCATTAATTTAGGCAGTATGTATGGATTGTACAAACTGAGATAACTGGACTAGGAGTGCTTTAGTTCTCAGACTATCTCTGTATCCAACAAAGGTATTTATACACATTTTAAAATGCACCTGTAAGCACTAGGGGAAGAAAAAGAAAAGGCACAGCCCTGCCAAAAACAGCTTCTGGGTACTGGTGAATAGGAAGCTTAATATGAGCTTGCAATGTGACCTCACAGCCCAGAAAGCCACCATATCCTGGGCTGCATCAAAAGAAATGTGACCAGCAGGTTGAGGGAGGTGATCCTGCCCCTCTGCTCTGCACTGGCCAGACATTACCTGGCGTACTGCATCCAGATGTGGAGTCCTCAGCACAGGAGAGATGTGGACCTGTTGGAGTGCATCCAGAGGAGGGTCACAAAAATGATCCAAGGGATAGAACACCTTCCCTGTGAGGATAGCTGAGAGAGCTGGGCTCTTCAGCCAGGAGAAGGCTCAGGGGAGGAGTGATTTTTCAGTATCTAAAGGGGACCTATATGCAAGAGGGAGACAGACTCTTTATCAGGGTCTCTTGTGATGGAACACAGGAAAAAGGTTTCAGTCTAAAACAGGAGATTTAATTGGGTATAAGGAAAGTGTTTTTATGACAAGAGTAGTGAAGCACTGGAACAGGTTGCCCAGAAGTGTGGTGGAAGCCCCATTCCTGCAGAGACTCATGGTCAGGCTGGATGGGGCTCTGGACAACCATCATCTGGCTGTAGGTGCCCCTCTTCATTGCAGGGCAGTTGGACTAGAAGACCTTTAAAGGTCTCTTCCAACTCAAACCATTCTATTTTTAACTGCAAATTATCTATTTTCCTTTGTATGGCACAATAATCACAGTGCGTACATACTTCAGTTGCTATACTCCTCTTAGCTTTGGATGCCTATGATTTCACTTGGTTTACTTTGTTTTTTAATTTGTTCATACAAGGAAATCTATCTAGCTGCAGGAATGATACAAAAGGTTGGTATGACTTTGACTGTTTCAAGGTCTTTCTTCCTTTCTTCTCCGCTTTCCTTTATCTTGTCTGCTCCCTTTCTGCCTTTGTTATGTCTTAAATACTGTAGTGCTAAATTTACAGTAATGCATCTTCTGTTCATTCACTTTCTTTTAGCCATCTCTCTCTCTTCTTATTTTTTATTTTGCCTGACTTTTGGGGAGAAGACTTTTCAAGCAGTTCTGAAATATTAAGATCACATTCCTCTCAGCGAGTGCCCTTTATTTCTATGTTGCTTGCTTCTGTGGCCCTGACTGAGCATTCCTTTAGCAATATATATTCCAGGTTCCTCAGTAACAGACTGTGTAAGTAAATCTTTCCAAAATAGGTCACTTTTGGAATAATAATTTGAATGTGGTCTTATCATTCAGGGATTAACTAGTAAAGGCATATGGATCCCCTTTTGAATGAGAAAGTTGCCCTTTAAAGAACGTTTTGAAGATCTGAGTTTCTTGAAAAACAACTTTCTAGAACAGGACTGTTTACTGATGTCCATATCCAGCATTTCTACTTGACACATCTCATCTTGAGACATCTTATTTTTGTTAGCGTTGAGGAGATATCAATTAAACATTGAAGGTGTTGGTTATTCAGGAAGAGAAGGAAGAATGGAGTTTTGGGCTTATCATCTTGCAACTGTTTCTACTCATCAGCCTCCATTGCACAGACTGCTGAAAGGAATGTAAAGTTGGGAAGATACTTGGCTTCATAGCCTTTTCAGCTGATGTTTTCAGGAAGGGAGTAGATCTCCTAATACTCATCTACTATTGGAATCTTTGACTGAAAACAGTCCATCAACCTAGTTTCAGCCCTTCAGAATCAGTTGTCGGAATACCTGTTTAATTAATCTGTAATGTCTTATAGGACAGCACCAATGAATCTTAACTTTGCATAAATGTATTTGGTTGTGTACTAGTTCGATTTAAAAAGAAAAAGGCAGATTTCGTAGAACTCTACGAAAATTCAATGTGAATTTGCAGTCATGCACTTTTTTTTCTTTTTCTTAATGTGAAGCATAGTGTCAAATAGTTTCAGAAGTTATTGCAAATGGGAATTATAAAAATGCTGTCCTCTTTTAAGATCCCAACCAGAGGCATTTATATTGATTACTATTTCTGTGAAAAGAAAGACTAATTTGTATTGATTATTCTGCATTCTGTTGTGGAGCAGAAGACACTACCAGAAAATCTGCCAACCCCTACAGACAAATATAAACTGAAGTATCATCAGTATGAAGCAGATATGAAGGCAGAGTATAAGCAGCACACTGAGAGAACTGCAGTAAAGAAAAGAAACCACCTCCAATGTCCAGAAGCTTCAGTAAAGGTGCTGGCAAAGTAGTAATTGCATTTTTAAGTGGTAAATGTTTATTGGTATTTCATTCAATGTGTGGAGAGATTTGCATTTGTATATATATATATATATGTCTTATATATATATTCTTCCATTTATTAATTTTAAAGACATTTCCATATATGCTTTTGGCATTTAACACTTAGCAGGGAGTAGACTATAGGAAGTTTACTTCAGCTGCTCTGTAGAATCAGAGATGGTGGTCCTTGTAAATACGCTTCTGTTCTCTGCTATCATAATGTTTGCCCTCATAGCGCACGTCTGGCCTGGGCACTGAGATTAGAGTGATTGATGGGGATGAGTCTGGAGCCTAAGAAGATAAGTGACAGAGGAAAGATCATGGTAAAATGTTTTTTGCAAATATGGAAATGCAGTCAGGCTTTTTTTTTTTTTTTTCCTCCCTCTGAATATTCTGTTGAATTAAGTTTGTACCGAGGACTTAGAAAAGAAATGGTGAAATATGTGGTCTGAGCCTTTAAGAAATATTAGTGCTGAAAATGGACAGAAGTATGGAGCTAAAAGAATGGAAAATAATATCTGTGCTTTTTGTCTTTACCTTTTGTAAGATCCAGCACTTGTAGTCTACAAAGCTTGGACTGCAAGCTGTGTTAAATCTACCAGGTTTCTTAATTGTTTGTAAAGTAAAACTGAGCAGCAAACAAGGGAAGATCAGGTTCTTGAGTGAAGATGCCCAACAAGGAACAGGAAACAGAAATGAGCAGATTATATGAGGACTAGTCAAAGCTAGACTGTGCTGACCACTTCAGAGTGTGAATGACATACAATATTCAGAATATTAATGGCTAAATACACAGTTGCTGAGCTAATATGTGGTGCCTATTGCTTTTCAGATAAAAAGTTTGTCATAATTGACAACGAGATTATTTTATTTGCTTGGTGTTCAGTAGCATGAGGAGAGATGGTTTTGTAGAAAACAAAGATTTTTTTTTTTATTGCTTGGGCTAAGGTCTCTTTTGCATATATTAAAATTTTAAAGGATTTTCTCCCCTTAGAGCCACACTTCTGATATTCAGATAATACTTGGAGAACATACAGAACCTTTATTTGTGGGTACTTCAAGTAAAAACTTAGTGAAGAAAACAAATTTGTTGTCTTGTTAAGTGCTTTTATGTTTGATGGTGGGTCCATTCTGGTGTTTTGTTGTAGTATTACTTTTGTTTTTATTTCCACTCCTGCACACCAGACTGACACAGTGATGTCATCTGTTTTCCAAGGAGTGAATCCTTTATATATTGTTCTGCAAGCCCAAAAGGTATTTATGTGAGTGGCCAAGTTAGTCTGAAACTGTAGGATTGGGGCCAAGCCTAAACACAGAGAAAAGGCAGGACTGGCCCATTCCAGTGCATTTGGGTTCAAGACAGGTGAACGCCAAGCACCAGAAGCTGTGTCTGTCAATTCTTGTGGCAGATATCAATATAATACCTAACTAAGAAAATTAATCCGCTAGACATTATTACTATCTTATTAAATAATAAATCAAACCTTCATTGGATTTCAAGATATTATTTTTTTCCATTATTGAAACTTTTAACTTCCCTGAAAAGAAGCTGCTCCTACAGCAGTGTGGATAATAATTTGTCTCTATTGATTTGTCTCCCATGTTTCCTCTTTTCCAAGGTCTGTAATCCTCCATGTGGGAAATACTTCTGTAATCCACTCAGGCTGATTTAGAAGTCTTTTAGAGCCAGTTCACCCACATGCTTCAGTTCTTTCTCCTATCCAGGCAGTATTTTAACTTCTTTGCTGATCAAAAAGCAGCACCTCTGTGACTGAGATCTTATACACCTGATGGCAAATCTTTTGCTTTATCTTCAGTGTTCTTAAACAGAACAGGGAGAGCTCTTGTCTTCTTCAGAGAGGTACTCACAGTCCACTTTCTCCCTGACTTGCTGCTGGTTTTCAGCAAAGTTTGTGGAACCATGATATTTTTTGAGATTTTTTTGTCGTTATTTGCTTGTTTCAGTATGATTGGAAGTTGGTAAGCATTCAGAAGTTGGAAGGCAACACTAGTGAGCAAAATCTGTAGGTTCTGTTTTAATAGAAAGCTAGGCTTGCAATTTCTTTGCCTTTTTAATTATCATAAAAGTAGGATAAAGAAACTTCCAAAAAATGCTTTTTAATAAATTAAGGAATTTGTTTAGATGTTAAGAATTTGATTTCTGAAAATAATTTACTTTTGCTTAGGGTTCACGGTTTGAAGATGGGCACAATGGTGGTCTTACAGCTCTTGATGAGAAAGCTCTCCTGCAACAGTGCTACACAAGCAAGCCCTACAATATGCAGCACAGTCTGAGGAAATCAGAAGCTGTAAGTATTTTGGCTGTTGGACTGTTAACTGTCTCTATACTTGCAGAATGACTTGAAGGTGTTCAGTAGAAGTTAGGCTCTTGATGATTTGGTCCTAGTCTCTAATTGTCATCACAGGAGTTTAAGCATTTGTTTCGACAGGAGCTGAGTTGAGTAATTCAGTGAGCAATTTTAAAATCTCATGTGCAATGCTTGTTCTTTTTTAAGCTGTAATGTGAGTAAGTGAGAACGCGCGTTAAAAGCCAGTAAGTACAACTGAAAAGACCAGCTGAGTGACTTGTGTGAATCTGACTGTACGGTTCTACGTCTTCAAGTCTCTAGCCTGTACATGAGCCTGTATTCTGTGGTGCATGGATTTCATGATTCTGTCAGCTTTTACTCTGACTCGTTTCCAGAGTAAATGGTCTTATTTTCCTCATTAACTGTTGGAATGGAGTATGTGATTGATAACCCTCTTCGTAAGCAGTATGGACTCTGCTGTTGGCATTAGATTAGCTGGCTTTGGATGTCCCCAAGCTCCAAGGGTGGATTGAATTCTACAGCGTTTATCAGCAACAACGTTTCTGTGCTGCTTCACTATTCCCTTTGTGAAGTACTTCTTCCTATCACCATTGTTAAGCCTCAGATGGCCCTGTTTGTAACTTTGGTCTCCTGATGGCTGGCTGCTATCTGAAGGAAAAAAAAAAAAAAGTTTGGCTGTGGTCTTTGCCCTTTGGTTGTAGGATGCTTTTAGAACACCCCATACCTGCTTCCTTTGCAGTCTAAACAAAACCAGACTCCCTTAGTTTCTCTTTCCAGTTTCTTCTGCTCAGATCCTCTGTTGGATCCTCTCCAGTTTCCTTTCATCCTTATTAATTTTGTGGTGAAGGCAGCCCCCCAAACTGGAAACAGATGCGGCTTTGCTGTTACAAGAGGAAATACTAACTTCTCTTATGTTGACGTACTCAGTATGTTTCTTTTATTTCTTACGTAGACACAATTCTTACTCTTTTTAGGACTGTTCAACAGGACTGTTGTCCATGTAAGGCTAAATTTTAAATTTGGGGTTATTCGAAGTGGTGAAGAATCTTAAAATTTTAGGTACTGCTTGATTCAGTATTTTCACGTGCAGAGTGATGGCCTTCAGAACTTAATTTTGAAGGTATTATTGAACAGAATTAGTATTCTAATATCCTGATGGAATAATAAGCCATGATAAATTTTATGAGACTATGAAAGTAAATAATTTTTCATTTATTTTGTTTGTTTATTACTAAGCACTGAAGTTCATGTCATTGCAAACATTTGATTTCTGGTCTTGCTAAAATGAATGTGAATATTGTGCTATTGAGGTCACCATTCATTTTCATGTATCTAAAGGAAAATCTCTTTAGAAAGTACTCTGACAAAGACTTTCCTGTTCATTATTTCTAAAATAAATCTAAAAATCTATACGATACAGTGGGTATAATGGGCAGGAGGGGAAGTTTTGATGTACTTTCAGATTAACTACTGCTAAATCAAATAAGCTGAAGAGACTGATAAAAGGAGCAGTGCAGAACAGCCAAATGGCAGGTACACTGCAGCTGGCATGCTTTAAAAGGAAGCCAGCAGGTTTCCGAGGGACTCTCTGAAGCTCTTTTGTTACTGATTAGCACTCATGGTTACACAGGCTGCCTATCTCTTTCTAGGAGCATCTCTTAGGTTCTCTCATGTTCAAGATTCTGATAGAAGCGGTAATAATAGAAAGAATTAGAAGTAACAACTGCTTATATAATAATTAAATTGGATATGTGTTGCCTCCATTGTAGGCATTTGATTTTTAAACTACATTTAAAAATTTGCTTAAGAATACAGAGTACTTTTAAAAGTTTTGTTTACTATGATCATTACTAAAACTTTTAATGCTAAAATAGATTGTCTTTTTAATTTTCTTGAGGTTTGGAATGAGAATTACCTTATCTAATGTGAATTACAGTAAGCATAAAATATCATAAATCTTCAGCTTCAGAACACATTACAAATCATTGAAGAGGTTGCCTGAGCCCCTAGAAAGGATAATCTCTCTTTTCTCATAGGTAAAATGGGAGGAATGAAAACAAATATCAGTGTAGCAAAGAAGTTCAGAGATCTGGAAGGTGAAATGAAGCAAGATAGTAGAGCCTAATTGTTGCCAGTGGCCTCCATGCTGACCTCAGGCATCCTCATGTGCCTTTGGTTTCTCTTGCTGTGAAATGAATAATGATTGATAATCAAATACTTTACAGTGAAGGGTGCAAGATTGTGGTTGAGTGTTATCCTAAAAAATGCAGTAAGATCCTGCTAAATCACCTTCCTCCTCTGAATATTTGTTCTTTTACAAGAACAAGTTATTCAGATTGGCCTTTTCCATCAGAAAATTGTTCTGGCATGCAGCAAGTATGAACTGAGGAATGAGACTATATCTTTAAAGAGTTTTTAGCTAGACATTGCTGGAGGTGGAATCCCTCCAGCATGGTGGAATGTAGATCTGTGTGTAGCAGAGAACATTATTTGTCTTTTAGTTACACAAATAGGATTTGATTCAAAAAGATGGAAAAAACCTTCAAAATTCCAAATTAATTGTAACATTAATAGGATTAAGACATCTGAGTGCTGTCTTAAGCTAATTTATTTTTTGAAGTGCTTGTTGTTATATTCCCTTTGCATTTGGTTACTTTTCCATTATAGGAGGATGTTGCTGCAGAGAGAAAGAAACAGGCTGTAGTAGAACAAGTGATGCTAGATCAGTTATGCAGGTAAGTGGATTTTTAATGTAAAACTACGGCTTTCCTTACTGAAGAATTTAGGTCTAGGAGCAGCTTCTCTTGCCTAGGTGTTTTGATCCTCTCATTGCAGCTCGTGTTATGTAGTGCTACTATTTGTAAAATCCCTTTAAATGGAAATTGTTTTTCATTTAAAAGACTCCGTAATTAAAAAAATCAATTTCAAGTGCTTTAAGTTCCTTTTTCTCTGAGAAAAATTGTTAATTTTATACCGGAAGCTTTAAGGGTTTTACAATAACAGTACATAAATAACCCTCTTGTACCTCTGCAAAATATATGGATTCCTGTCATTACAATTATTTTTTGTTTTCTATCCTAAGTCTGTTACCTTTATTAATATTCTTCTATTAATATCTCTCTGAAGTTGAAGGGTAAGTTTAGGTTGGATGTCAGGAGACACTTCTTTACAGAAAGGGTCGTTAAGCACTGGAATAGACTCCCCAGGGAGGTGGTTGAGTCACCATCCCTGGATGTGTTTAAAAACCGTTTGGATGTGGTGCTCAGGGACATGATTTAGCAGAGGGCTGTTAGTTAGGGTAGTATGGTTGGGTTGTGGTTGGACTCAATGATCTTTAAGGTCTTTTCTAACCTGAGCGATTCTATGAAGGAGTATTATACCCGTGTTAAGCATGCAGGAAAAAAGGGAGCAAATGAAGTTAACTGATTGAGGTTGTACAGGGAAGCTCTCGAACTTCATTGCTGTCCTTCAGCTCTGAGAAATCATTGGTTCTGTATAGAAAGATTTCATCATAGGTTAAGGGGAAAAAAAGTAACTTACCTGTGAAGATGAGTGTAATTAAGACATCTTACTATTGTTCCTATAAGTTTGTTCTCGTTTCTATGTATGCTTTAATATATCAGAGTTTTACCTAAGCTGTCTGATCATGGTACTATGAGATGGTATAAACTGGTGTAACGTAATTTCAATTTCATATTACTTTATGCTTGCTAAAAATTTTACATAAGTAGCTCCTGCTGTAAACCCTTCTGTTGGCAAATGTCAGAACAATATTCAGTAGTGCTGCAGTTGCATCAGGATGAACTTTCTATTTAAGAAATCTCTCTATTTACCTTCCATATATAACCATGCCAGAGCTGCCAAATTGGTATCAGAGAGCAAAATGTTAATCGAGGAAGATTAGTTCAAAACTGTTTCACAGCAAATCTATTAACGAAAGTGCAAAAGGTATTTTGATTTGTTTTAATAGAGCCAATCTTGCAGTAAAATCCTTGTAACTGATACACACTCAGTGTGGATCAAAGAGAACTCTATAAACATAAGTTGTATCAGTACAAAATCATTTTTCCTTCTGAGTATTTTTAAGGGTTCTTTTCTCTTGTTTACTTGTTAAACAACTACAGAGAATATAAAAATGTTCAGAATCCAGTTAACTTGTTATCTGTGAGATGGGACTTTGGGTGAGTGCCTTGGCAGTGGAGGTGCCTGTGTTTTTGTTGAGTGATGCTGCTAGCCAGTACTGGTAACTCCCATGACTGATTGTGGAGGGATCCACGGATGAAGAAAATTGAAGATGGAATATTTACTGAAATGAGGAAGGGGAGAATAAAAAATCTCCATAATTCTAAGGAAATAAGGTAATAAACGCATCCATGCAAAGTATACTTGTTCACTACCAGATTGTTATTTCATATACTTAATTTAGAATAATAGATTTCAGAATTTTAAAAACAAAAAAAAACCCCAAACCCACCAAATCCAAACAAAAGAACAGCCACCAACCAAATAAAAATAAACACCCCTCTCCCCAGATTTTTTCAGCTATAATAGCTAAATTCCATGTGCTATTGTTGCATTATTGTGAGGTTTTTATTTTTCAAAGAAAGAACGTAAGAAGTCTGAAGTGCCCACTTGATACATGCTAGAAGGCTTATCCCTGCTCTTTTTCATCAGAGCTGTCATAAGTGATCCAGAACAATCCACACGAGGTGATGTTTCCAAGGAAGCTCATGGACATTTGGGACTTGGGACTGCACCCATGCGTTTTAGAAAAAGAACACTGCATGAAACAAAGTAAGTTTTCTCTAGTGGTCATTTGTTTAGAAATATTCTCTTTTTTGTTGTTGTTTTGGGATCTGCAGAGTCTCTCTTTGTCTTTCAGGTGTTTTATTCCTGGAACCAACAGCTTCATCTCTTTCTAGACTCCTCATTCTGTATAATTGCCTAGTGGGACCTTATTTGTGGATTCTCTGTGTATAATGTTTATTCACAGTATTCATAAAACATGGGAGAACCAACTTAATCTTATATTGATATTGTTTGTCACAGAGTTTTGCCAGCCTTTTTTGCATGCTTGAGATCCTGTCATCTCCTTTTAGAGACATCCATCCTGAGGTGCATGAAATTGCATAAATATACATCCATAAATACTAAAGTAGATCCTCACAGTGTAATCATGCTTTTCTTCTATGTTTTGATTTCTTTTGCAGTAATTAAATGTAGCGGCATTTAGATTTTATTCCTGGCCTGCAAGTATTGAAATCATAATTCCAATGGCTTAAGAAAAATTGAGAAAACATTTTGCTTTTCAGCATTTCATGTTGAAATGTGGATCTGCATTTCCTGGTTTTATTCTGCTAATCTTTTTCAACACGCAGGCAAACATGATGGGTGGTAGAATTTTAATTCTTGACAAGTGTTCATAAACAAAGTATCCCATTCACGTCTGTGCTTTCTGTAGGTGTACTCTCATATGATGTAATTACAGAGTGCCTTCCACACTGTAACTCTGAGTTGCTTCCTACTTCAACTCCAAGGATCACCTCTTCAGCCAGTTGCCACGGATACCCTTTTTCACTTTTTTTTTTTTTTTTTTTTGCTGTTTTGGAACAGCTGAATTTCATATAACATTCTTTTGTGACCACATAGCTATCACTAACATGCAGCATTATTTTTACAGAATAAGGACAAAATCAGGATTAACTGAAAACATGCTGTCTAACAAGCTACGCTTTGATAGTAGGATTATATCCAGGTAATTACAATTTTTTTGGAAGATTTTTGATTCTGTGAATATGTGAATAATGATTGTAACTCTTCTGAAATAATTAATTATAATGAACTTCCTCCGTTGTATGTATAGGAAAAAAAATTTATCTGTGGATCCCTCCACAATCAGTGATGGGAGTTACCAGTACTGGCTAGCAGCGTGTGTGTGTGTGTGTGTGTGTGTATATATATATATACACGTGTGCACTTAAAGTACAAAATTTGACCTGGCTCATAGTGCCATTGTGCAGCATTAAGATGCATAAGTCATGCTATGTTACCATCATGTCTGTCGTAGGACAGTGAGGTGTCTGTGCAGGACAACCACTGCAAATCGGTTAATGAAAAATTGTATGGTCTTGTCTCATGGTATGTGGCAACCACTGTGAATGGAAGGGATGGGTTTGTGTTTGTGGTACTGATAGGAATGGGAGGGTGGTTGGACTAGATGATCTTGCAGGTCGTTTCCAACCTTGTGATTCTGTGTTTCGTTTGTGGATTCTTGCATACTAAACCTTGTAGATTTAAGGCAGCTTTGAAACTGATCTGAATTGAGTAGTGGTGGCATAAACATGTTCTTCAGCACTGAAGCAGTGAACTGTATATACAGGCAAGGATTCAGCAGAATAACTTCATATACCATAATAACTACAGGTAGTCCAGGTTTAGGTAATCCTATTACTTTTAATGAATGGTTAATATGGGTAATAATGGTTAATGAATGAAAATTACATTGGTCTACTAAAGCATGAAAATTTGATAGACTTTCTTAACATGATGGAGAACAGAATATTCCATGTAGATTTGGTTGTAAATCCAGAAGAGGAATTCTACAGTGGTTTAGAGAAAGTAGATAGCTTTTAAGAGGAAAAAACATTGTGCAATATGGAAGAGTAGACACAAAGTGGGTGCTTCAAAATAGAAGTACTATTTGTGTTTGGGTTGAATTAAACATGTATGTATGTAACAATGTAAATATTCTTTTCAATTTTCCTTCCAGAAATGGTCGTGATGCTTGTAGGGACTTGATTGGATTCTTTTTTACATGTGACAAATCCCTTACTGTATATGAATTCCGACAGTTTGGAAAAAATAGGTAGGTTAAGTTTCTTTTAAAAAGGTTTTAGAAAATGTCTTTAACTTTACTTAGGAAACTTACCAAAACGTAATTGTTTTCAGGTTGTTTCTGAATTATTTCACAGAACAAATGCCTTGCCTTTCATTCAGAAGGGAGTTTATCAACATCAGCGAGGACAAAAGAAGGGAGAAGCTTATGATCTCAGTGATTTCTACATCGTAAGTGCTTTTCTGTTGAACTCAAGGCAATGATGTTGGCGAATTTGAACTAATATTTCAATATTCAGATTTTAAATTGTGGTATATCATTTAGGGTCTTCCTTGCAGTAGCATTTTCAATTTACACATTTTTCAGGAGTCTGAATTACTCTTCATGTTTTAGAGATTCCTCTTTTGGCTTCAGTTTGTAGTATTCCCACTAGAGGGCAGAAGACTGCAGATAGTGTAGACCTATCTGTAGAAAAAAACATGATTCACGGAGTCCTGAAGATGAAATAGAAAACCAAAGCACTCTTTAAAAAAGTAATCACCTTTACAAGCTTTGCTGGAATTTTTGACAAGAGTCAATGTCTAAATATTTTTAAGCATGAGGGAATTGTACGTTAATTGGTTTTAACCCAGAAGTTTGAAAATATTGACCACCAGCTGTTTAAAGAGAGCTTTTGTTACTTTTTTTCTCGCAGAAAGTGATTGAAACATCATTTGAATAAGTTGCATGTTTAATCAAGTTTATACTTATTTGAGCATTTGGGACTTCATCCGCCAGCTAACCTGATTAATGATTATGAATCACACTGGGTTAAGGGTTCCTGACTTATAAACACTAGCATAATTTTTCAAATACGGCACGTTTTGTCTGCATCCTCCTGAAAAAACTTAAATTTAGAGAAAACAATGTATTTGAGTGAAGTATTGAAACAGTCAGGTAGAATGCAGTCTCTGGAAGGAAAATGGAAACTAGGTCATGAGGGATAAGGAGAAAACTGAGGTGCTCAATGACTTCTTTGCCTCAGTGTTCACTCGTAAGGGCTCTAGCCACATCACCTTAGTCGACGATAGCAATGGTAAGAACTTGGAGAAAGTAATCTGCCTGCTGTAAGTGATTATGAGGATCAAGACCATCTAAAGAACTTGAAGGTGCATAAGTCCATGGGACCTGGTGAGATCCATCCACGGGTTCTTAAGGAACTGGTGGATGAAGTTGCCAGGCTGCTATTCATGATATCTGAAAGCTCATGGAAGTCTGGTGAAGTTCCCATGTTTGGAAAAAGGAAAACATAACAGCCATTTTCAAGAAGGGAAAAAAAGAAGATCTGGGGAACTACAGGCCAGTCAGTCTCGCCTCTGTGCCTGGAAAGATCATGGAGCAGACCCTCCTGAAGGCCCTTCTAAGGCACATGGAAAAATAAAGATGAGGTGGTTGGTGGTAACCAACATGGCTTCATCAAGGGTAAATCATGCCTGACAAATACGGTGGCTTTTTATATTGGAGTTGTGGATACAGTGGATAAAGTGGACTGGTGGATAAAGGAAGAGCAATTGATGTCACGTACCTGGACTTGTGCAAGGTGTTTGACACTGTCCCACATGACATCCTGGTCACCAAATTGGAGAAAAAGGGATTTGATGGATGGACCAGTCATTGGATAAGGAATTAATTGGCTGGATGGTCGCACTCGGAGAGTTGCAGTTGAGGGCTCAGTGCCCAAGTGAATTTCAGTGATGAGTGGCATTCCTCAGGGATCAGTCTTGGGACCAGTGTTATTTAACATCTTTGTAGATGATGTAGACAGTGGGATTGAGTGCACCCTCAGCAAGTTTACAGTTGATACCAAGCTGAGTGGTGCGGTTGACATGCTGGAGTGAGGGGATGCTATCCAGTGGGACCTGGACAGGCTTGAGAGATGGGCCTATGCCAACCTCATGAAGTTCAACAAGGCTAAGTGCAGTGTCCTGCATCTGGGTTGGGGTAGTCTCAAGCACGGATACGGGTTGGGTGAAGAATAGCTTGAGAGCAGCTCAGAGGAAAAGGATTTGGGAGTGCTGACTGATGAAAGATGCAACATGAGCCAGCAGTGTGCGCTTGCAGCGCAGAAGTCCAACCGTATCCTAGGTTGCATCAAGAGAAGTGTGACCAGCAGGTCCAGGAGTGGTGATTTCTGCCCCCCTACTCTGCTCTTGTGAGACTCCACCTGGAGTCCAGGTCTGTAGCCCCCAGTACAAGAAGGATGTGGAGACGTTGAAGCAGGTCCAGAGGAGGGCCATGAAGATAATCAGAGGGCTGGAGCACCTCCTCTATGAAGACAGGCTGAGAGAGCTTGTGCTTTTCAGCCTGGAGAAGGCTATGAGGAGACCTTATAGTGACCTTCCAGAACCTAAAGGGAGCCTACAGAATGCCGAAGAGGGACTTCTTAGAAGGGCACGAAGCAACAGAACGAGGGGAAATTGTTCTAAGCTGGAAGAGGGTAGATTTAGACTAGATATCAAGAAGAAATTATTCACTGTGAAGGTGGTGAGACACTGGAACAGGTTGCCCAGAGAGGTTGTGGGTGCCCCTCCTTGGAAGCATTCAAGGCTAGGCTGGATGGGGCTGTGAGCAACCTGGTCTAGAGGGAGGTGTCCCTGCCTACAGCAGAGGATTAGAACTAGGTGATCTTAAAGGATCAAGAGAGAAGAGAAATAGAAAAGTAGAGCCAGGCTGAGGAGACAACAATCTGTAGTCCTTCATTCCTAAACTGTGACTTGAGGCACAAGTGGCCCTCTTCCTAGACAAACTTCTACATAGAGGATAATATTTCATTTTGAAGCATGCAGCTATTTTTATTTACTACTAGAAAAGCTGTTTAGAAGGTTAACTGACATTAGCTACACTTTTTTGTCATTACATACCTAAATGTTAATAGTCATACTTCTTGAAAGTAGTTGTATTTTACAAATTATGTGACCTATTTGTAAATAACTGTACACTTTCCAACAGGGAGCTAACCTAACTTTCCAAAGTGTTGATCATAATCTTCCAAAAAGCGTCAAGCAGAATCCAATTCTGACCCTTCGTGTAATAGGTATTGATGAAACTGCTATGGATTTTCTAAAGTAAGTGCCACCAACTGTTTTTCAAATTAGTTTTCCCTACTTAAGCAAAAAATCTTTTTTTATAAAAACTTACAACTTCTTATTTATACTGTTAAAAAAAAAACCTGTATTTAGGAGAAATTAGTAATAAACATGAGAGGATGTATGTAATTTATTATAGAATGATAAGGAGTAAGATGAAAAATGAAATTAGAGATGAAGCTATGTTATTTGCTTTGAAGTTTTTTTCAATACAAAACCTTATGAACATTTTTCAATGTAATGAACTAATATACTGAGTTCAGGAGAAAAATACCTTTTTGTGATTAATGTTATAATTGAATCTTCTGTGAAGCCTGTATTAAAAGCTTACATTAGTCAAATGATACAGGTGTTTGAACACAGTCAATGGAAGAATAGAAGATTTCTCTGGTTGTTTTTTTTTTGTTTGTTTGTTTTTTCATTTTTGTATCTCTTTTCTTCCAGATATTGCTACACATTGTAGACTGCAGGCACTGGGGCAACTCATTTGTCTTCTGTAATGATCCCCATGTTCCAACAGAATCTTTTATCACATGCTCTTTCCCTCAGTCTCTTCAATTGCGTCTATTGCAAATCTGCTTTAGCCTTTTGGTGTAGTGAGGAATGCTCCTTTCTGCACCGGAGGGTGGTGCTTGCCTCATAGTAGCAATTCTGAGTTACTGTTGAAGAATACACATCCTGATAGCATTCTCTCTGCTACTGTATCATACACAGACCATCGATTTTAGGACAGATGGCACAGGCTCATCATATCAGCACATAATAATTTGACATTGTATGATACTGAATGTCTTAAGAATTAAAGTGTTAATTTTGCTACATTGCCTATTTCTCCCGTCCCTATTGCAAGTGCATGAGGTAACAAAGAGTAGAAAGAAGGACTATTTTTGTGCTACGTTATATCATTAATATCTACATGAGAAATCAAATTATGCCATATATTGTCTTTCCAGTCTCTTGCTATGTCTCGACTGGTATGGTTTGCTATGGCAAAGAACTGTGGAGAGAGAGGTTCAAGTGTTTTATCTGCTCCCTAAATCATTGTAGTCATGGTGTGTACATTAAGCAGTCATTAAATGACACTTCTGATTTGGACATTTACTCAGATTTCTTGCAAACTTCATAATAATGAGATATGAATGATCTTAACACGTTTCATTAGAATGCATGACCTAGATATTTCCTCAGATTATCTGCACTTGATTTTTTTCCCCTTTCCTGCTGAAATAGAAGTTGATAATGTCTGAGGATGGGCTGTGATTGAAGGGAGGAAATTCTCTTCTTTTGCATTTTCTCTCTTTTATGAACAGTGGGATATAAGTATGATGAAAATACAACTCTAATACGTTACATGGTACAGCAGAAAAGCTTTTTTGGAGCAGGATTTCTACACTTGCTTTTTCAAAATATGTTTTAGAAAATTACATTGTTCTATAGAGAATTTCATAGAACTTTTTCAGCTAATCCCCCAATATGCATTATTTTTCACAGTCAGTGCACTTATCTCACTATCTGCAGAAATAAACAGTCAGGGCAATGAACTGTCTTTCTCTGGGGTTTCTGGTTTCTATTGTGAATACACTGTTTCTTACCACCAAAAAAAAAAAAAAAAAAAAGGTATGAAAATTTGTTGCCTGAATATGGAAGTTAATTAAGTCTGAAATACCATCAGTTTGATTATTCAAATTTTGGTGAGAAGTTTGTCCCTGTTGCCTCTTGTCCTGTCAGTGGGCTGCATTGAGCAGATCCTGGCTCAGTCGTCTTTACTCTCTCCCATCAGATATTTGCACACACTGGTAAGATACCCCTGAGCCTTGCTTTCTCAGGTCTAACCAGTCTCAGATCACACAGCCTCTTGATTTGGAACAGCAATAACAAAGCCTCAGTTAAATACATTCAGTATGTAAAGACTACTTTCATCAGAACAATTTAACTGACTATTATTTTTCGTTCTGAAGCTGTTTAGATGCATGAAGCTTGTTCTCAGTTACAGTAATACTCACTTTATATCTCTTTCCACTGAAAGCTCTGCAAAGGGGCCATAGTGAGCTAACAGTCCACAGAACAGTATATTCAAACTTAATTGGTTGTAGAAAGGTATATCTGTATGATACTTACTGCTAATTGCTCCCTCTGCAGCATTTTCATGAAATAATATGGTTAAATTTTGGATAGCTTATGTAGGATATTTTACATCTCAGAAGCATATCATTTTGGTAAATATCTTGCATTTATTGCTAATTTTCTACCTGTGACATTTGGAGTTGATTGAGTGTTATTTCTGAAGGCTATCTCTTCAGGCTATAATTTCATATTTTCTGCTACTTGTGATGGAACAAATTGTTTCTTTCTTCCATGTTCTCTCTAACTGAAGTGTTATGGGTTGTTTTTTGTTTTTTTTTCCAGATAGTTGACTAAATTTCAGATTGTGAAATCAGCCTATTTTTTTCTGAACAGTGTGTTTGAAAGGGATGATATTGAACTATAACTTATTCTTCTCTGGCAGAATACTCTCTTACCCTCGTTACTATACTTAGAGAGAATCCTGCTCAGATAGTCTTGAAGGTCTAATGCAGATTTACAAGAGCAGCTATGTCTTGCTGTCACGAGCTATGAATCTTCTGTGTTTTATGTTTATTTTAGAGTGTTATCCTCTGTAGGTGGCTGTTGATGGTAATGTACAGTTTAGGTGGTTTGATATGAACAAGTTCATAGGGACTTCATAATGGAAGGTACATGAACTGGAGAGATGTAAACTCTTAATAGGCAGGAGAGAAGTAATTCTTCCTCTGAAGGAAGAAGTACTCCTCCATGACAAGGCATTGGTGAACAAGCAATTCTAAATTGACAGTAGAGCTTTTGCATCTGCCTTCCTACTCTGATTAAAGTAGTTGCAGGAGTAGGAGTAGGTTTCCTTCTGTTTTGTTCATTTTCTTCGTATAGATTATTTGCAACAGTATTTTTTCTATCAATCTTTGTAATGATTTCTGACTGGGGATTCTGGGGAGGGGGGGGGGGGGAGGAGGAGAGGGGGGAGAGGGGGACCTTTTCAGAACGCAATCACTTGCCAGGAAAAAAAATACACGATTTCACTATAATTCCTTGTTCATGCCTATGATGTACTGATCCAGCTTTTGATCTACATCCTTGCTATTGTTTGTACCCTTACCAGATGAACTTAGAAAACTAACTTAACAACACTGAGTTTGCATTCATTTATTTTGTCAGATATACGGTTAGCATTGTGAATGAAAATATAAACCAGGTCAGAAACTCTTTGTTGCATCAAATTCAGTGTCAAATCTATGTAGCTAATCCTGCTTTCTACAGGAAAAGTTGCAAACCAGTGTCATGGAATGGCGCTTTCTTTTTCATGGAAGGATGCTTGTCTTTCTTCTGTTTGTTAGTGGTTGGCTTGTTTTTGAAATGAGAAGGCTCATGCATTTCCCAATTAGGCTCTCATTAAACCTAAAGTCCCTCCATTTAATCTCTGGTGCAAGAGAAAATTTCTGTGATTAACTGGCATTTCAAACTCAGTTGTTAAGGCTCCTATATGGTCTCTTCCTGTAAGTGGGCATAGTAAGGAGAAAAAAAAAGCCCAGAACTGTGTAGTGTTAACATATCTGTCATTAATATGCCTCATTATTGCTTGTTAGTTACCTGGAAAATTCATTTCTTTATTTGAGAGAGATTTTTTTTCCTGGAGGATTTATCTGTGCAACGTCCAAATAAATACACATCAAATCTGTGTATGTGTTTTCTGGGAGATTTCAACTTTGCTGACGTTCTTTTCAGATGGCTGATTTACACTGGAACAAAAAGGAGAAACTATATGAAATTTTGTTACCGTTATTCATCCTTTTAATGCTCAGTGCCTCATCTTTCTGAGTGTCTTCAGATGTTAAAAGTAATTGGAATCTGCACAGACTATTTGTAACAATGAGGTTATTGAAAGAATAAGTTCATTCAGATCTTTGTCTCCAATGTCTCCTAAGATTGCTAACAATAAAGGCACGAGTGTAGAACACTTCCAGTTAATTCTTTTCTTGCAGAATCACCTTGCCACTAGTTTGTTCTAGTCATTAAGTTCAAAGACTGTGAGGAAAACATTTTCCTTCAGAATATATGTGGAAAATACATGGGATATTTTATAAACACATAGAGGAATTTCAACCTTTTGAAACTTCTCTGAGCTACCTCACAACATTCTTTGGATGTGACTCCCAATCACAGTGTCCCATTCATTAGCTCTTTTTCTTTTTTTATTTTATTTTTTTCTTAAGCACGTTTTTAGAAATCCATGATTCATTTATCAGAGCATTTTAAAAAGTATTACATTATGTAGTGCTGTGGTGACCAAGCAAAGAAAGCAGATTTTTAACCAATAATCAGCATACGGACGTGTTTGCATTCGTTGAAGTCTTCATGACAGAAAAATCCTCAGGTCCTCTGGTCTTATGCCAATCTACTGGCCATTCCTTTTCTGAACAGTGTCCCTCCTTCAGCTTGCAACATTTTCATATCTCGTATTTAGTGGATTTCTGGCCGTTGCCAGAAAAAATGCATTTCTACTACAGCTGTTTTCCATCAAGTAACATTATGTGTGATTTTAACCAACCAACATTAAATTTTGATTATTGTAGAGATTCCTCCTTGAAATTCAACCAAGAATATTCTGAGCAATTGATTGATGACGGCAGAGTGTTCAAGAAAATTCAAGGTTTGTGTCTACCAGAACCCCCTTGATTTTCATTTCTGTGTCTCTAACTTTATTGTTCAATACAAGGAGCAGTGATGACAGCTCAAAGGTTCTATTTGAATAAACAAAATTAAACAAGAGTTCGGTAGTTGTCAGAATATTATTGGAATCTGATATCAGAATAAACCTGTCAGAAGAATGCGTTCTACTCTCCTTTTCCTTTAAATAGATGGTCTGCTTAATGATTTTGGAAAGAGTGTGGAATAATTGTGAGTGTAATCAAGATGATATTACTTTCTGTGATGACAAAAATCTTTAAAATATGCTGAAGTATAACACTAATCCTTTGTTAAACTGGCATTAAATTAAAAAAGCACTGAAATGTAAGAACACGTTCTCATTTCATCACTTCTGTGCTCAGTAGTTCTTTGACCATTATTTCTACACACTGAGAAGTTGTTTTTGCATACTCTTGTAACAGTGTTCATACTAAATGTGTGAATACAATTTAGTATCTAGAATATGCAATTGAATTTTACCAGGTTCCTACCTGTCTTATTTTGGACAAGGGCACAGCTTTGTGTTTAAAACTATGACAACGTGAGCACCTCACTGTGCTCTTGCTGTGTAACTGGTAGTCAACATAGACAGTTGAATTTACACACAAATTGATTTCTCAATTATCTGAATATATCTAAAGTTTGTTGGTGTGGCCTGGAAGAAGGCAAGATGTATTTTCATGTACTTCTGACTTCGATCTTTAGTGGAAAAAATGAGTTCCTCTCTCCTCCATTTTGCTTTTTAAGTAGGTGCCAGTACTTTGAAAATGTAGTGAGATAATAGATGGCTTCTGCTATGGTATGCTGAGAAGCTCAGACATCCCTGAAGTAAAACAGATGTTGGTAATGCTGTCACTGTTAGCATGGAAAGTTTGGAATGATTTTACAAACTTACTAATAGTTGTTTCTGGTTCCACATGTATTAGCATGTTTATAGGCAGAGGAGGCACTCTGTATTCATTAGTAGAACATTTGTTTTACCAAAGTACAGCATTACTAAATTGTTTTGTTTGTTGAAATTATGTATGTGATCAATTCCATTGAAAGTTAGCAGTTTTATCATATCAGCACATAGAAGGTAATCGAGCCATTCTTTCTTTCCTCCTGCGATCTTCTAAATGTTTTGTTAGATGTTCCTGCTAATTTATACAATTTCCATTCAAATGTTAAATAACTGATAGTTACGTTTTAAACTCCTATGCCATCATTGAAGGTAAGAGAGCCTGGATGTGTGCATTGGCTGTTTTAACCTGCAGCGTTACAGGCTGTTGTGGTTTTGTTTACTTTTATAACAGCTCTGTAACGTGTGGTCAGCTTTGGCTGAATATTGCACTCTTTTCTTTCTGTAAATCCTCAGGTATGCTCAGAGAGACTTTAAGTAAAAGAGGAGTTAGAGTTGTAACAGGCTTAGGAAAATATTTCCGACACATAGACAAGAACGGCAATGGTTTTCTTTCTCAGGCAGACTTTAAAGAAGCTCTAAAGCTATTCCATTTGGAAGTGTCTGAACAGGTAAGTCTAACTGAAATTGTAATAATGGGCAGTATCTCACTTTAGTTTACTGAAATGCTTCTTTTCTTTGCTTAAATCTATAGTTCAATATGGTGTAATTTTTGCAAGGCTTTTTTTTTTCTGGTGCTACACTGGCATTTCTACATTCAGCCCCTTGTAAAATTCTGAAATAAGTAAAAAGAAAATAAAGAAAAAGAGCTGTCTTTCTGAGGGATGAATGGAATTGCAATTATTTTTCTTTTGGGGCCTTTTGCAGTTATTGTATATGATGCCATTTACTTATCAGTCTTCCTTCTAAATATTATTTTACAAAAACAATACACAACTATCAAAACTGCAGACAACGTGAATTATGGCTATCAGTGACTGATGATAACTTGAATTATTTTGATGAATCTTCGAGTCAGTTTGGATTGGGACATTCTTCTTTGCGAAGTTTGCACTGCAGCAATTGCTTTCTTTCAGGATGTCATGAAAAGCTTTGGCAAAATATTTTTAAATTACAGGACTTTGAATCCTTATGGCTTATTCTTGATGATAGCAAGAGTGCTAAAGTCGACTATGGAGAATTTATTCATGCTATAGCTGGAGAAATGAATGAATATCGGAAAGCATTTGTAAGAAAAGTAAGTTTTACTGCACTGTAATTATAGTTATTTTGCAGTCTAACTTTTGGAGTTGGTTATTTATTTGAATATTTTTCCTTACATTTTGTTCCTGGTAATTGTCTTTTTAAATTGTCAAAGGAGTGAATTAAAATGAATGTAAATTGGAAGATTGCATGCTGTTTCACTGTTGAATGAAATTTAGTTTTGAACTCTGCCACCTAGAATCAAATATTTTATTATTATGAGATTGAGTCTGTATGCTATTCTTACAGTTCACTCCAGCGTGTAAAGCATCTGGCACTCTGAAGCAGTATCTTCCAAAAGTCTGTTTCTGTATTTTGGCAGATCACTCTGTGATCTGTATATACTGTGCGCTTATTTTTTCTTCCAATGTCTGAAATAGAGGCAATAATACTTGCCTTCTTTGAAATGTACAGTTAGAGGCATTAAGTTAGTGAGAGTTTTTTATATTGGAAATGTCATTTGTTAAATGTGTATCTAGAAATTGGAAAGAGAAACTATAGTGCCAGTGTATTGTGGAACCATTTCCAATATGAAACACTGATTGCAAATCAGCCAGTATTGTAGGGATGGAATATCATAATGAAAAACTATGACACATACTTTGAAATATTGAAACTTTTAATTATGAAGGATCTGACTCTCCTGGCCTTCTGCATTGAGTGTGTGTATTAAAAGTAAACTGTTGGAATGAGAATGAAGCTGCTGTAAGCAGTGCTGAAGAAGCCTCTATTGGAATGACACTGGAATCATACTAATTGGAGGAGGCAGAAAGGAAGCATCTTGACTGCAGATGCCAGGGATGTGCTAGAAATTTTGGAGAGAATACAATTTTTTTTTTGAGTTTGTGAGGGACAGCATTTAATGTGAAAGTTGTTGAAATAAAATGATTGCAAAATTCCCCACCATAGAATCTTTTACTGGCATCCAAGTGTCAGTGATGGAAGACTCAGTTTACTTATGTAAAATGGTTATGTCAGAATAATTAATTGCAAAAGATCTAGAAGTACGTATTAAGTATGTGAGTATATTTGATCTTTAAATATTTCCTTTTTTTTTTTTTTTTTAATTTTACCTTGTTTAGGCTTATATGAAACTAGATTTCAACAAAACTGGAAGTGTTCCCATGGTAGACATCAGAAAATGTTACTGTGCAAAGAAACATCCTCTAGTGTTGGCAGGTAATTCATATGAACAAAAAGAATATACCTGTAATTAATGAATTCACCATGTTAGCAGAGAAAACAGATTCAGAGACTGCTGCAAACATTAAATGTTTTTGTGTTGACCTAGACTTCAGCTGTTGACAAGAACTTTTCTCCTCTGGTTATCCATAACGTGAAACAGGACTATAAATAGTACTGCAGTTCATCTGTATGATTTTAATACTTTTATCTCACTGCGAAGACTTCAGATATGCAGGCTAGGTTTCTTTCCTTACCTTTGTAGGACTGTATTTAAGTAGTTGTATCTTAGCTCTTGTGTGCAAGCACTCACTGACATACACAATATTAGCAGTCTTAAATTAGGAGGATGCTCTCCCTTTCATGTTCCTGTTCTCTCTCAATATACAGAAGGTTTCCAAGTGACACAATTTTCTCATCACTTGAAGTTCCTTCTGAATAAATTATTCATTTATTTCTGCTCATGGTTGTTCCTCTTTACTGAGGAAATGTTTGAGAATTCTGAAAAGATAATGAAGATAGCAGCGTGTTTAAACTCTTGCTGCTAAAAAAAAAAATAATAGGAGTTTAAATCTTTGTAGGTCAGTTTCTAAAACAACATCTCCAATGTATCGGACTCATTACTGTGAAAGCCTCCTTGATGTCTTGACCCCTTCTATTTTACCTATAGAGAAGAGGATGTTTTTTGTTTTGCCAGCAACATCATAGTAACACATGAGGACAGCCTGTGGCTTAAGGATGATGGACGTGCAGTTTTTTTCTCTATAATGCTGTATTTTCTCCAGTTTTTTCCTGAGTGCAGTAAAAGTTATCTGAGTATAATCTTGGTTAAGTCACAAAAAAGCACTTGTAAATCTGGAACGTTTTTGAATGGAAGTCATATCTTAATGTGTTCCTAGAGCTTTGAGGTTTTTTTTACGTTAAATGCATGTTTTGTTACAAGTTTACCTCTGAATTACCAACATTTTAATTAAAGAATACATTGTTCAGTTTTCTCAGTCATTCGAGGAAAAATCTTCTTGATCTCATAATCCATTGAAACTGACTTTGGCCTCATGTTTCCATTTATGTTTAATGCTATCATTTGCTATCAAAGTAAGGTAAATACTGCAGGCGGACAAATGATTTCATTGCCCCCTGTGAAGTCAGAACATTGAATTTTAAGTTTTCGTTTCTTAAGATAGACTAAAAGCTGTATATTCACTGGTCTTAGAAATGTGTTTGATGGAAAAAATAAACTTTCACAGGCAAAGCTACAGAAGAAGAAATTAAAGTGTCATTTCTAGAGACATTAGGAGAATCCTGCAGCAATCCTGAAGAAGTGTCCTATTCTGAGTTTGAAGATTACTATGAAGGATTAAGTATTGGAATCACAGATGATGATGATTTTGTTAACATCTTAAGGAACCCTTGGGGAATTTAGAGTGGAAGAAGACAAAAATGAGGGAGAGACTCCTCCTGAACAAAAGCAGAGCTACATAAGGGAGGATTTGATCATGATGTGCATTGCTTAATAATTATTGCTTTATATTGATATCAAGGACTGAAAATTTTAGATGCTTTCAGAGTCATACAAGACATGGTAAGTTTCTTAGAGTGCCTGTTGAGCAGAAATGACCACTGTTTTAATGGAAATGCTCTTTATGTGCTTTCATGGCCTGTTCCCCATACCAGGAGGTCCATTACATACCATCACTGAGTGGATGTTTGAACAAAGAGACTTATTTTAAAAGTAAGTGGGAATAGAATACTAAAATGTATGTATGAGTAATGCAAGAAAAAAAAAAAACAGTTTTATGATTGTTTTGACAGTGTAGGCATGGTATCTTTTTTTTGTTTTTCAGTTTTATTTTATAAAAATAGCATAATTGCTCTTAAAACATTATGTGCTTTATTTCTCCTTTACTGTTTTGGTGATCAGCCTGGAAAAGGCCATCTTCATCCAATTTGGAGGACGTCTGCTGTACTGAAAATGCAGAGAAGTTCACACAAATTAGTTTTGAAGCCAGTACCCAGCTCATCTTTACTGATGTTATTTTTTCATCTTGGTCAGGCGTCTGAAGCTGAATGTTGAATACCAAAGGCTTAATAAGCACAAGTATATTTTTTCTGCCTATATTTTGCTAAATTATTTTCAAATCAGATTTGTATGTAAATATCTGACTTGTCTACTTTGAATTTCTGAGACTTTTTTTTTTAAATTAAGCAATTATGTCATTTGTCAGGCTGATATGCAGAACTTCGTGTCTAATTTAAAAGTATAGATCAGAAAAATCTATATTGAAAGAGCACCACTGCACCAAAAACTAAATTCTGAATTAAAATATTTCTTACTACTTCAGATATTTAGCCAGGTAAGCTTTTCTATGTAATATATCCTTTTAGTTCTGTAAGGTTAATTGTGTTAAGTAATAAAAAATGAGTTATTAATAAATTATATATGTATGTATTGATACCTTTGGTTTCAGTTTACCTCTCACCAAAATTAACAGTGTGTTGAACTGCATTTCTTAAGCTTATGCAATTACAGTATATTCCTTTTCCCCTTGCTGGTCTGACCAGTTTTGAATGTATAGCTTGGGGTTCAGAGGACTTCCTCTGAAACAGAATTTGTGTTCTACAGAAATTTAAGGACAGTGCTGAAATGAATGCTAAAATCAGGGACTTCAGACCCTCTGTGTCTGACTGGTTTGTTCTAGATACAGCATTTTTGTGTTCTAATTACTTGTGTTTTTGTTATCATCTGAATTTCTGTAGCCTGACCTTTCTTGTAATTAGAATTGCAGTTTCTGCTCTGAACCTTCAAATGAAGGATTTTTTTTTTCCCAGTTCTTTTGAGGCTGCAGATGTCTGCGTTGGTTTACAAAACAAAGCAAAATTCTGTCATTGCTTATTCTAAGAAGAGTTCTGATGTGGCTCATTACAATCTTTTTATTCCCCATTCCTGCTGAAATTTCTCTTGCTGGTAAGGTTCTGTCAGTTGGTCATGGAACTGGTGATTCTGAAATGGACACGCTCAGCAGAAGCTGCACAGGTCCTATGTGCTGCAAATGAAGTGCTTTTTAAAATTTTGTTCTTAGCACAAAACTTAGGTGAATGATGTACATGAATGATATTTCTATAATTTTTGTAGTAATGCTCCTTCATCTGAAGTCAAAATTTTAATTGGTTAATCTACAGTAAACTCTAAAGGTCAAAAATTGCCTAAAAAATGTAAGTATGTACTTTGGTAATTCTGAAAAACCTGCTAGGTATTTCATTTCTATTAACTTCAAGGTCAGTTACACATCAGTGGCTGCCTCTAAACATCAGCTATAATGTCTCTGAATTTTTAATGGAGTTCACAAAAGCTCCTGTTTTAAAAAGTCACCTTCCATTTGCCTGCTGTTATTTGTTCTGTCAGCTTAAGAAAGTGGCAAAGAATTGACACAAACTTCTATGCAAACCTGGCACACCGTGCTCACAGTTACTTGTAAAACCAGAAGGACTGAAACCATATTCAAACCAAGATCTGTGACATCTGATTCTTTTTGTTTTCTGTATTGGAAGCAAGCACCCATCAATGCTGTAGATCTCGGTAGTGTTCCTCTTTGGAAATCAGATAGCAAAGAAAGGCAGGGCAGCAATGCGATTCTGTAAACCCCAACAGGTTTTCTTTTTCTCTCAGTATCTAATAAGTTTGTTTGTTTGTTTGAAGGGGCTTGAAATCTGCTTCTGTGATTGAATTATTCAGAACTGAGAATAACCAACCATTGTGATCTGTATTGCTGTGTTCCAGTACTCAGAAAAGCTGTCAAAAGACGTTCTTAGTAACAGCGGTCTCAATGCTCTGCTTAATTGTGTTCTGATTTGTTCTTTTTTAATTGTGAATCAGTTGATGAACCCAAAGCCTTTTCTTTGGTCAATGCTTTGTAACTTTAACACTTTCTGGATATATCTGCTGGGGCTTAATGCCTCTAAATGTGTTTGAACAAAACTCTTATCTGTATTTCGTGCCTTAGTATCTCAAAGTTGCTTATGTTTTCTGAATTAGAATGTGTTTTTAAACGTGGTGTTCTCAGCCACAGTAATTTCCTTAAAATTACTAGAAACTAGTGGTCTTAATGACAGCCTAATTTAAATTTATGCTAAGAAGTCTTAGCAGTCTGATGTAATTGAGAATAGGAGAAGTCCATTATGCTGCAAGCATGTTTTGTCCTAAGAAATGCATGCAGTCCCAGAAGACAAGTGAAAATTAATGAAGTGATATAACTTCTCAATCTTAAGGTCTGAGACCACTTCATCAAGCAAATGTGCACTGGTAATACTGGCTGGAATGTTTGTGGACATTTTAAGAAGCAAAATACAAGCACCAGTACAAATAATCAGAATTTTCTCTTTCATCAGTTAATGGAAATGTAGCATCCTCACCTGGGATAGCTCTGGTGGTAAGATAAGGTGTTCTGACTGATTTACACACACAAACTTATTTTTCTTCCTTAAGAGCCACGGCCAGATGATCAAATTCTGTTCTCCTTCAGGGACAGCATCCCTGCTAAAACGTGCGCACTGAGGTACTCTTTAGTTTGTGTCTGGTTTTGAACAGGTTATCTCTCATGTAAAACAGAAAGCCTAGAGTTGATTTCTTCTGTGTTGGTCTACATAAGCCCATACAAAAGCAAAACAGGTAAGTTTCTGTGGAAGAAAAGGGGCTGGTACAAAATAGCATAATTTTTTCTGTGTGTATAACATCTAATAATCTATCTTTCCTCTCCTTTATAGTCATGAATCAGAGACTGAGCCAATTCTGTACCGGGCTTTCATGTTGTTACCTTTGTCTATTGGAAGCTGAGTCAGGTGGACTCTGCTTTGTAATCCTGAGGTATCACCAGTGATGACAGAGGAAGCTAGCATTTCCTTCCAGACCCAAATAAGCTGTTTTTTTTTCCCCACAGGAGTTATATATGTATATGCACACACACAAACACTCACACACTTCTCCAAAAGTAATAGCTCCTATTTATTTCCAGGGAAATTACAACAGATACAAAGAGCACAGTAACACCATTTGATAGAGCAAATTCTCAGGTACAAAACAATATTTTTCAATTCCATTAGCTATGCATTTTCACTGGCAATGAACAAGAGACCACATGCCATGCTTGTAAACATCAGCACTAGCGCAAGCGACCCACAGTTACCGCTGCTGAAATGCGCCACCTACTGCCTCATGGTAAATTCGCAGATGACACCAAATTGGCTGGAAGTGTGGATCTGCCTGGGGGTAGCGAGGCCCTACAGAGGGTCCTGGACAGGCTGGAGAGCTGGGCTGGAGCCAATGGGATGAGTTTCAACAAGGCCAAATGCCGGGTCCTGCACTTCAGCCACAACAACCCCAGGCGACGCTACAGGCTTGGGGCGGTGTGGCTGGAGGACTGCGTAGAGGAAATGGACCTGGGGGTATTGATTGATGCTCGGCTGAATATGAGCCGACAGTGTGCCCAGGTGGCCAAGAAGGACCATGGCATCCTGGCTTGCATCAGAAAGAGCGTTGCAAGCAGGAGCAGAGAGGTGATTGTTCCCCTATATTCAGCACTCGTGAGGCCGCACCTCGAGTACTGTGTCCGGTTTTGGGTCCCTCACTGCAAGAAAGATATTGAGGCCCTGGAACGTGTTCAAAGGAGGGCAACAAAGCTGGTGAGGGGTCTGGAACACAGGCCATATGAGGAGAGGCTGAAGGAGCTGGGAATGTTCAGCCTGGAGAAGAGGAGGCTCAGGGGAGACCTCATTGCTCTCTATAACTTCCTGAAGGGAGGTTGTAGTGAGCTGGGGGTCGGCCTCTTCTCTCGTGTCATTAGTGATAGGACCAGGGGGAATGGCTTCAAGCTACGGCAGGGGAGATTCAGGCTGGACATGAGGAAGTATTACTTCTCAGAAAGGGTGGTCAGGCACTGGAATGGACTGCCCAGGGAGGTGGTGGAATCGCCGACCCTGGGGGTGTTCAAGGAAAGGCTGGATGTCGTGTTGAGGGACATGGTTTAGTGGGAGCTATTGGGAATAGGTGAACGGTTGGACTGGATGATCTTGAAGGTCTTTTCCAACCCTGGTGATTCTATGATTCTATGGTGATCACTGCCTCCGGTTGGTCTCCATCAACATCCAGCAAGCATCAGTGAATGTCAGTAGGTGCATTTTTTTCTGCATGGAGGAATTCAGTGACACACTATTGCTTCATATGTACTTCCACATCAGTGCCGTTGTGTCAGACTGCCCCTCTGCTGCCATCTGTCACAGCAACAAAGTGTAATGGGACACTGGTGGGAAGCTTCAGCCTCTGTGGCCATACCACCAACATCTGCCTCTGATGTCAGGGGTCAACATAGTAAAATAAGAGGCACTGCTTTTCAAACAGCCCTTGTGATGCCCCAGCATTACCTTGCTGCTGGCTCCTAGGCAGCTTTTGGGATGGAGATGACTTACACACATCTAAATTTTTTGTCTTGGCCACACTAGAACAAGGAAGCTGACCTTATGGCGAAGCTACTGTTCTTTTTTGTTTTGTTTTGTTTTGTTTTTTAGCTTTTGAAAACATCAAGCAGTTATGTGGTCTGGCTGCAAGCAAGTATAATGGAGAGGGTAGAGAGTGAATGGAGATGAACTAAAGCAAATACATAGAAAAAAAAGCAAAAGACATCAAATAATAGTACTTTTAAGGACAGTAGGGGAGATGAAACAGTAGGAAGGCAGCAGGGGTTTGCCTTGATGGAAGCTGGGAGCTAAACTCAGTAGGAACTGATTAATTCAGATTCCAAATGTCTCTGTTACGAGGGTACCTCTCAGTATCAAGGATACTTGTGGTGTCTGGTTTTTTGGTTTTTTTTTAATCAATCCTGTCTCTGGGGCTATTGATAACTCCATGTCTGTTCTTACTTTGAGGTTTGGCCAGGGCCCTCGCAAAACTCGCTTTGGTAGGAAAATGCTGTGGGGGAAGCCTACTTTACCTTGCTTTACACTTTTATGTGAGGAAACCCTGGGCCATTATAGGAGTGTGCATGTTAAAATCAGTGGAAACTAAAATAGCAGCTTCAGTGATCTATCTTAAGCACTACTCCCTTTTCTTACAACCTATGTTAAGTAAGTGCACAATTAATGACTCCTATGACTAATTCTTAGATCCTGTGATTTGTCTTGGCATGAATTAGATCCTGTACTCATGCTGGTAAAATTACTCCCCTGAAGTCACTTCCTCTGACGGTAGTATTCGCCTTGCAGATGTTAGTCATTAAGCACAAGCTTCATCTGTGAGGATTGCACTTGTTTTCATGCAGTAGATGTTGTTGAATTGTCCTTTTTTCAGCATTTCAAGACCAAATAAACACGAACAGAGGTCAAACTGGTGCTGGAACTTTTCATTTT